TTTCTCTCTCTCATATATATGACATCTGAATCCTTTTTTTCCTTTTTGTTATACTTTTTCTAAATTCCCTTCTAATTTTTTTTTTTTTTCTGGTACTATCAGTTGGTCGTAAGATCAAATGATGTATAAGACTTTATGAATTTCATTAACAGAATGACTCACCTAATTAACTAAGTGATAAGTTAGTGACAAATGCAATACAATGTCTTTCTTGAGAATTTTGAATATAACGACACATTATTGTAATCTAATGGTTGTGAAATACAGAAAAATGAAAAGATAATAACAATGACAGCATAAAGCAATCCTGTCACCTTCCTATTCCGTCTTAGTGACAAAAACCGGTTGACACTGAATAAGTAATGACTGGTATTGTGTCCCACTTTCTTTTCTCTGTCATTCGCTACTATCTTCAGCATTTTATATGAATTCAATTAAATTATTGATATTCATTTGATAACTTCGAAACTTAATGAATTATTTCGCATATATCTTTTACGATGGAACCTTGAACTAATTCACAACTAATTAATTGCAATTAGTTACAAACAACCATTATCAAATAATAACATTTATTAAAACATCAAATTCATTTGATTTTCAAGAAAATATAAGAAAAAAAGTATTTTAATGATAAAATATCTAAAAGTTACTTAATTTATGAGTAAAATGATTGCATGATAAGTGAATATAAACTAATAACTGTTATACTTCAATAAGTGTAAACTGCTGTGAAATGAAATGGATCGCATACTAAATGTAAAACTAAGTGAATATGCAAAACCATAATTTTTCATTAATGTTTATTGATAGAAATTACTAATAAGCAAAGTAAATAAATGTGAAAGAGAAACGGAAGAGTTTCCAAGAAAGATATATAGATAATAAGTTGACAAAAATGATGAAATAATATGTCCAGTAATAAACAAATGATAATTGTTTCACTTTAACAGTTGTAAACTAATATGAAATGAGTATACTATTTAATATACAATTATTAAATATACAAATTCATTATTTCATACTCAGTTCTTCATTTCATTTCAATGACAATTTAACCATCTATACATTTGCTAACAAAATGAAATTTGATTCCTTTTTTCAATTAAAAAATTTAATTAGAATTAAATTGTACATAACAATATATTCTAGAAATCTTAAAATAATAATTCTTATTGATTAAAACACAAACATTTTTGCAACAGCAATAATTCATTATGTTGGAAGAAATGACGTTTTACTCACATTTGTTATAATTCAATTAATATATCATCAAAAACTAACCAATGCTAGAACCATTCCCGCTTTTACTTCCCAGACTCCTTACCCACACCTTTTCCCTGCCCATTCCCTTACCTTTCCCTTCTCGCACTACCACCCATCGCTGTTCCACTGACACACTTCAACTCAATTTTATCAAATTACCACTGGCAGGGAGAACATTTAGAAGCATCTGTCATATTTTGCAGCTCTATTCATTTTTAATTTATAAAATTAATTTATTTGGATGTAATTATCTGTAATAATTAACTACTTAAAAGATAATTATTGATTTGTATAATTTGAAAAGAAAATGAGAAAATATAAAAATATTATAATGAATCCTTAGACTAATGCATTGATTACTAATAGCAATAGTCCAGATTACCAAAAGTTTTAAATTGACTATGATATTATCAGTTATATAAGCAATTATGAATTGCTCTCATTGTTGTAATGAATTTTTTAATGGATGAAATATGAAAATATTTGTACTAAGAGCTGACCATTTCTTCAATGATTATATAGCAATTTTTTTTTATTAATAAAAAAAACAAAAATAAATTGCTAAACTTTTTTTTTATAAGCTCACTTTTTATCCTTTATAAATTAAACTCGTCCTTCTCTCTCTCTCTCTATCCATCTCTCTCTTCCTTTTCTTTTTACACTCATTTTGCCATTTTATTTTGATAAGAAAGTTAAAATTGCTGTGCATAAAATGTCAAAAAGGAATGTGATGAGTTTTGATTACTGCTACTGATAACATTTAGTGAAAGTGAATAGTTTGTTGACATAAATGTGATAAAAAGTTGTCAGTATTAGTTTAACTTGTGATATTGTTTACTTAGGGTAATATCACTTTGCAATTATAAATGAATGAATGTATTATATAATAGCTAAGTAATTTTTATTTATAACTTTTAGTGAAATTTAAAACAAATTAGTTGATGATAAAAGAAAGAAAAGGAAAAAAATGAGCTAAATAAATATCATAGAAAAAAAATGATAACAACAAATTATTTATTGTCATAATTTCATAGTTAACAATGTTACTTATTTGTAAGTAACACTCCACTTACAAATATGTTTTATTATCGATAATTTTAGTAAATTAAATTGCATAAATAAACGAATATTTAGAAAAACAATGTAGCATTTGGGGATGCGTGCAAACTAAGTTTGAGATTCAGAATAAACTATATATGCAGTTAGAAGAGAAGATATTATCATCGAAATTCCAAAGCATATTGACACACTGATAAGTGATAAGTGGAGTGGACTCTGTGTTATCAAGTGCTATATAAATGATATAATAATAATTAGCGCAAATACTTCGATTATAGAACAATAATAATAAAGTAAATGTAGTACTGTAGTCTTTGAAATGATACGTAAATTTTACACGTCAACGTGGAATACACGTGAAGAAAAAGGCTGATCATTTCCTCCGCTATATATGATAAATATGTTTAATAATTCACATATTCAACAATTCTTCCTCATCTTTTTACATTTATTTTAATTTTTAATCTTTTTAAATACTCTAAATATACAGCAAAATTTTTAGCTATTTTCACTTTATTCCATTAATAAAAATTCAAATATTATCATTTCTGTTAATACTTATTTATTTGTGAACATTTCTTAATAAATATTATCAAATTGCTAGCATAACATATTCAACAGATATAGATATTATCAATTATCATAATTCTTGCTATCAGTTATTTTAACAAATAAATAGTTATTTTATCAAACAAAGAAGTATTGTAACTAAAATTACAAAAGTTGAAATTGACAATATCAATGAATTTATTTCATTTTAATCCTTTTCTCTCTTTTTTTTTTTTTTTTTTTTTTTTTGTTAATTCAGATTAATGCATTAAATTAATTGATGATGCATTTTTCAGTCTTTAGCCTACTCTTTCTAATTTCATTTAGTTATTTCAATCATTTTGATAAAAATTTTTTGTTTTTATTTTATTAATTGTTTGCTGTAAAATGTATTTACCGAAACAAACGTCGAATGATTTTAATGCTTATTAAGAATTTCAATAGTTTATCGTTTGTTTTTTTCAAATGTTTGAATCTTTAACAATTTCAAATGCATTTAATCTTTACTAAGAATTTAAAAGTTTTTCAAAAATCTCTATAAGACACAAAGCGTACAGAAGAAGTGATATATTATCATGTTTTCATCAAAACTATAATAGTAATACCAAGATAACAATTAATGGTTATATCGGGTAGAGCTAAATGATATAAATTTTACAACAATATTATCAATTCAGCATGGTGATAATGCTATCTAAATAAGCATGCCAAAATTATAAAAATAACCAAAACGATTTTAATAATAATTATTTTCGTTCACATTCTATTATAAAAAAATTTCCATTAATTTGTAAAATTAACAAAAAAGTGTATTTACCGAATAAATTGATTATCATTCTTTTTAAATTTTTCTTATTTTTTTATATTTTTGTTAGCATTTCTCTCTTATTCCTTTTATTGCATATAATTTCGCACTTTTTTTTTCTTTGTTTCTAATTGAATTTTTAAATTATTGCATTTAATTGTAAATGCTCAATCTAATAAACAAAAAAAGTAATATCATTTAAAAGTAAAAGAAAAGTTTTGCGTTTTAGCTCAAGACTTTAAATGTGTTACACAATAAATGTATATTAAATAAGAAAATATTAGTGTAATGGTGATTCGTCAACTAAACCGAAATGATTTTTTAATTCGGTTTGCAACTACTACATATGCAATTTATTTTCTATCAGAAAAAGGAAAAATTTTTGCTAATATTGCATTAAAATTATTTGTTAAGTGTTCTATCACTTCAATTTTTCTTTTCTTTTTTTGAGTATTAAATGAAATAAAAATAAATTTTTTGTCACTTTAAAACTATTACCCTAATTTATCTCTAATTATTTAAATATTGTGCTTAATTAATTCTTGCTAATTTTTTTTTTTTTGCTAACTAAATTGCTGCTAACTTTTTTATTTTCGAAATAATTCTTTGATGTATTCAGTCTTCGTTTTTTATTTCATAAAGTTTTATTTTCATAATTATTAAAAAATGTTTAATTGGTTTTTTGTAGTCACAATTATCCTTCGTTTTTTAATATGTGCAAAAAGTATTTCTCTTTAATGCTTAATTTCAATTTTTATTTATTTTTAACTTTAACAATGAAAGAATTTGATGAAATTCAAATAATATTAAAAGACAATAAGTTTATTTATTTGACATTTATCATGTATAAAATAATTTATAAATGCTTTTTTTACTAACTATTATTTTCATTACAGATATTCATTATTGTATAAATTTCTGATTCAGAATTTTCTTTCTTAGCACTAATTATTTAGCACATTACAGAAATGAAAAGTAATAATGGATAAATATTTTTGATAATTGTATGCTTTTTAGATGAAATTTTGTATTTGCTAAAATTATGCAAATTTAATTTGCAATTGTTTTGCTTTTCAATAAGTAATAGATTTTAATTCTTAGTATCAATTCAAATACTTATTTTTATCAATAATACAATGAATTAATTTTTATGAAATTTTTTTTTAAAAAAAAACAACAATATTTGATAACAAATAAAACAAATTATTTATTTAACTGTTATTATTATTATTGCATTTTTTCCTTTTGCATGCATTTTGCGCGTCATAAATATGTCACTCAGTTCATTTATTTATCATTTTTTGTTTATTAAAGCTTTAAAATGGGCGATCATAAAGCTGTAACTGCATGCAAACTGAATTTCAGGGTAATTTGCAGTAAAAAAAGACCAAAAACGAAAGAATTAAGCAAATGTTATAATCAGATTATTTAGAAAACGAAGAAGCAACGAAGTTATTCAAATAAAAACAAGGAAAATGATTTTTCAATTTTTAAGAATAAATAAAATAATTAAATTTTTTTTCAAACATAGGAACTCTGGCCAAATCACCGAAATAAAAAAAAGCCTGAAATATCAACAGATGATACGACAATTACGTTATCAGATAAAAAGTTATGTTCACGTTTAAATTAAAAAAATTCCTGTAAAAAATACAACTCGAATTTTAAGTACAAAATTATTGTTTTTTTATTTCTCGTCCTGTATCATATCAAAAAAAAAGGAAATGATTCAGATAAAAATTAGAAGTGAGATAGAAAATCTCATTATAATGTAATGAATGTATATTAGAAGCTAAAAGGAATTCTTTTAATTTTTCTGAAATAATTTAAGCCAATAATTTTCATCGTTTTTTCCAAAAATATTCAAACAATTTCAAAATATATATGTGATAAACTTTAATAAATAAATTATCAAATTGTTTAGATTAAAAAGAAAAAGCGTCAGCTTATCGGGTAGTGAACGATTAAAGCTAAGTTGTGAACGTTTGAAAGGTTTTTTTTCACAGTCTAAAAATTATTTCGACGAAGTGGAATTACGAAAGAAGGGATTAACAAATAATGAAATTAAGTACTTATTTTAATAAAAAAATAAAAATGATGCGATTGCGATTTTTTTTTAAATCTTTCTTTCTTAGTTGGCTTCGATATTTTTTCTTGCTCATTTTATTTTAAATTAAAAAATAAAATGATAGATTTATGAAGTAAAATTTTTTATATAGATGCATATATTTCTTATAAAGTAAAAAAAAAAGAAAAAAATGCAAAAGTTTTTCTTAAATTAATTTTTTTCTTTGTAATTTGATTTTTCTTTTTTTTTATATTAACTTCTTTTTACAACTAAAACAATGTTATAAAAATTCAAAGTACTACAAATTTTATTACTATAAACATTTTACGATTAAACTTTTAGACTTTAAAAATTTCAAATTTTAATTTTAATCAAAGAATTTTTCTTGCACTGTTTGTTTAATGTTATTGGCAAATTTCTTTTACAACTTTTTGAACACCAATAGCAAACGGAAAATGTCATCGATCGGTGGTCAAACGAAAAGATCAAAAGAAAGAATTCAACGTGGATCATATTATGGCGTAAATAATCTAGATCCGTCTGCTGAAAAGTATCAAAATTGCTTTTCTTCAATAAAGAAATTTCTTTCACTTTCCAGAACTGAAATTTAATTTAAACAGAAAATAAAAAAGTTAATTTGATTTTTTATCATTTGTTAGTCTAACTGTAAATGTTTTAAAAAACTTCAAAAAAAAAATTTAATTTCTTAAAAATTATAACCTATTTATAAAATTTTCTCATCTTATTTCAGCTACATCACCGATGCTGAAATCAATACCCGTGGTTATGTGGATCGAAATGGTCAAATTCACTATTCAATTCCCATTTTCCCGAAAGCAACGGAATCGAAGTATATCGCAAAAAAAACTGGACATGTTTTTATAAGCAGCGAAAAGTTTATTTTATTTATTATTATTATTATTATTGTCTTTGTTACTTATTATTATTTATTGCTACTATAAACTTTATTACTTTTGTTATACGTTATTGCTTTTTTTTAAATAATATTTCAAAAAGTTTTATTATACTTCAGCAGTGAACGATCCATTCATAGTTATACATCAAATAGTAAAAGCGAATTAGGCGATGAAAAAGGGAGTATTTTGGGAGTTATCACATGCTCAGTTGGTGATAGCACTGATAGAGGGAAATTAGATTATAAGGTGTGCGACAACGGCCGTATCTACGAGTTGAAATGCTCAAATGGTCCTTCAATGGTGCTTAGTTTTAGCAAAAAGGTCATTTTCATATTAGATATTTTAAAAAAAAATTACGATTTTTTTCATTTTTTTAATATTTTTCAAGTACACTTTTTAAAGTTTTTCTACTTAAAAATTAAATGCTAACAGTGACAAAAAAAAAAAAAAGAATTTCCGAAATTTTTTCAAACACAGAAAAATTTGGTTGATAGGTTTAAAAAATTAATGAATCGTCAAATATTTACTCTAATTGAGTGGTCAATAATCAAAATTTAATTTAATCAACTTGTCATTTATTATAAGAATTGGAAAGTTTTATGAAAAGAAAAAAAAGAAAAAAAGGAAAAAATGATTTTGCAATTAATAAATTACTTGATATACTAGTTTTAGAATGCGGCATTGGTGACAAATTGGTATAAAAATGACAACTTATCACTTTCCTAAATGCACCAATTTTGTTATCACTGCGATATTCTCGATGAAGTTATTCATCGTTATCTAAAATTCCCTTGTACGAAATAAATTTTTTTTTTTTTGTCAAAAATAATGCGATTGAATTTCACAAATTTAATTAAAACATATTAGAAATAAAAAAACGTAATATGCTAATGCTGCAAACAAAGTTATCAGAGTTATCTTTATCTCCTTAACATACCTGTATAGCAAAGTTAAGCACTTGGTGACCTTTAACATGCATTGTATACATTGCATTGTAAGGACTGAAAAAAGGTAAAAGGTTTTTTATATATATATATCTCAATTTTCTTTTTTTATACACTATCTATTGCACAAGTGCATAGGTTTCGTAGAAGAAACGTGTAATAATTTATCATAGTGATAAGCAAGGCCTGATAACCTTTCAGATGCTTACAAGTCAAGGATTTAAGCCTGATAACCTTTCAGATGCTTACAAGTCAAGGATTTAAGCCTGATAACCTTTCAGATGCTTACAAGTCAAGGATTTAAGCCTGATAACCTTTCAGATGCTTACAAGTCAAGGATTTAAGCCTGATAACCTTTCAGATGCTTACAAGTCAAGGATTTAAGCCTGATAACCTTTCAGATGCTTACAAGTCAAGGATTTAAGCCTGATAACCTTTCAGATGCTTACAAGTCAAGGATTTAGGCCTGGTAATTTTTTAGACGCTATATAACGAATAATTTCAGAAAAAAAAAATTTTCACAAAGAAAGAGCATTGCTATTTACTAATTAATAATTTGATAAAAAAAAAAGAGAAATAAAAAATGTCAATAATTTATTCAGTTAACAATTTAAATATATACAGTACCGTAATTATTATATTAAAGTAAAATTGCGTTTCAAAAAAAGCGAAAATTTTTGAAATGTGAAACAAATGGACGAAATATGATGCGGTGATGAAATTACATCAAGCGTAATTGATACAGCAGTAGAAATGAGTGTAAAAATGTCAAATGATAGTCAGAAGAAACATGATAAAAACTTTTTTCATATTCTCGAAATATATAATCGGGAAAAAAACGGATTACTAATAGGAAAATTCAAGTGTATATTAATTAGTCGAAATCATTCAGTAAAAGTAATATCGTTAAGATATTATTACATTAAAAAAGGTATTAACAGATACTAATTAATTGTGATTTATTTTTTTTGTATTAATCATAATTTAAAACAAATATGTATAAATTATAAACTGATGCTGTTAAGAAATGCATTTTAATTTTAAGTGAGTAAAATAAAAACAAATGTTTATTTAAGTGAGAATTTTTAATTTATATTTAGAATATATAAATAAAATGAAATTAAATTTTTTCCTTTTTTTTAAAATAAAGAAATCTGAAGCGATTATATTATATGTTTTAATATTAAAAAATTTTTCCACTTACTAAAATTTTGCCATAATTATGAAGTCAAATATGATTATTGCTATAAGAAAAAAGATTTATAGAATATTTTAAGTGTTAATGAAAAGTAATTTAACAAATGTTTATAAATGATTCAAAATTTAAAAATCAGTAAAAAGCTTTTTATTTTTGCGATGTAATTGTGTGGTAAAAAATATATAATGCATGCATAATTGAATTTATGAAAATGATTGATTGATAAATAAATTAAAATTTGATTTTTTTGTTTTTAATTTCACATAATTGATCCATTTATCATTTTTGTTCTGATATTTCTGATTACTTAATTTTACAATAACTTATTTAGCTTATGCATAACTTAACCCTAGAAATTTCTGTTCCGGTATTTGCGAATGTTTCATTTTACATAAGCTAATATTTATTCCGGCATTCTCAAAATTCCATTTACATAACTGATTCATACATATTTTTGCTATTTACAAATTTTAAATATTTTTGTGGAATTCATTTATCAGCGCCAAATCTTTAAAGCATTTCCAATTCTATTCCAAACTGATATTTAATACTGATTCTTTTTCATTGGTCTATTAGTTTCGTTTCAATAACGTCCAAATCTTTTTTTTCTTTCAAATTAAATTCTTTGCAGAGTGACGAATTTAAAAAAAAAAAAGAAACTTTTCTGAAGTTTATTTCTCATCAAATTTCTTAATTAAAGTCAGCTCAAAAAAAAAGAAAAGGTCAAACCATTACACCATTGAATATTTGAAATATTCGTATATAATTTAATATGCCAGAAAAAAGAAAAACTGATGACTATAAAATGATTCAATTAATAATTTATAAATTATTCATTGATACTTGTAAATCTGGTTAGCGGCTGATTAAGCATTGGTTAGATCAGTTTCAAATTATGTTTAAACCAACAACTATTAGCCAGTTGATTAATTACAGTTAAATCTGAAAATCAGCAATTATCTCTCTCTCTCTAAATTGACTTTTAAATCAAACAATTAATAATCAGTAAAATACTACCTTAGCACAGTAGTTATCAATTAATTATATGGATTTCAGTCATAAGCATAAATTAATGAATTTGTTGCTAGTTGAGCTGATTTCAATCAAAACTAAGCTAACAATTACTAGCAGTCATTTTAATCAAACTTAAAACAACATTTAGCAAATATTTTGATCAACTTCAGCCAATTGAAAATTAATAATTGGCAATTTATAAATAACACTAGCAGGTTTGGTTAATTCTAGCCAGGTCTAAATCAATAATTAGTAGCAACTAGTCAGATTAATTTTAGTCAAATCTAGCCAAATAGTTAATATTTGATTATGTCAATTTCAGTTAAGTCTAAATTAGCAATTTGGTAGCTAATTAAATTTCACTTTCAATTAACTTCAAACAAACATAAACTGGTAGATAAGATTAATTTCAGATAATGTAAATTAATAATTACTAGCTAGCACAATCAATTTTAGTCAAATCGAAATTAATGATACAATTAGCAATTAATTCGATTAATTTCAATTAAATCTAAAATCAAAAATTGATAGCAAATAAAACAAACGATAATAAAAAAATTATCCACAAAAAAGTTTTTCTTTTATTTTTCTAAAAGTCAATTTTAATCAAACTTAAACTAAAAATTGATTTAGCAGATTGATTAATTGCGCTTAATTAGTAGTTATAAATGAACAATGAACAGTTAGCTAAATTAATTTTATCCAAGTTTCATGTAGCTAATCACAATAATTCAAATGAAAATGTAATTACTTACCGATGATAAAATTTCTTTCAACTTCCTTTTTTTTATAGCATTGTAATGTTATTTGTTGTAATTTTGTATTCATCAATAATCATTTCCAATATACAGGAATTGATTAATTAAAAAGTTTCCGTACATATTTATATATAGCTGACTTCAAATTATTATGAATCAACAAGGTCCATCACGAATGAAACGAACGGTAATAAGAAAATATTACGAAAAAATTCACATTTTTTGTTTTTTTATTTATCGAAAAAATAATTCATTTATTCACTATAGATTGTTTAAAATAATAACAATTACTTCATTCATTTGCTCATTATATGATTTTTCAAAATAATAAATTCATTCATTCACTGTATAATTTTTTTAAATAATATTAATGTAATATTTATATGGTTGCTACTAAAATTATTGCATATAATTTTTTTTTTTTTTAATCAGTAAAAGGCGAAAATTTTCTCTTTTTTCTTTTTTTATTAGCAGAATTATATAAATGTGTGCGCGAATAAAAATTAATAAAAGTTTTTAACAAAATAGCAAAACATGAAGGCTAAACAACCACTTGTAATTACTGTACCGCGTGGCTTATTACGACGTTCATTGCAAGAAGTTATTCCAAGCAAAAATCTACGTATTGGTTTTGTTATCAGTGGAAGTGAAATTAAATTTGTACATTTCATATATTTTTATTTATTGTATATCTAAATTCATAATATTTTACATAGTTTTATAATAAATAATGAATAAATGAAACATTTCAAATATATTACAATGATTAGTAAAAGAAATTCTATTCAGCAGTTGGAATGAATTTTTAGTTCAAATGATATTAGTTTGAAGAAAAACTTTTATTTTTAAGAAAACAGTTTAAGGATTCAATGCTTATTCATTAATAATTAGTAATAATAATAATAGAGTAAAATAACTAACAATGCTTCTAAGCTTGATAATTCAGTGTTATCATTATTGATAAAGAAACCATAAGTGATATTATTACCGAAGCAGTGATGACGATTAGTGTAATATATAATATCCAAGAAATGATAAGCTATCCGACTATTATTGAAAAAAAAAAACATTCATTTTTCTTTTCTCTCTCTCTTTTCCTTTTCCTCTCTTTACATGACATATTTATATGAATAATTAATTTATAATTTATAGCTTTCACCAACTGAAAAGTGGGATTTTGATTTGTCATCTATACAACATCTTCCGCATTCCCATTATGCAGGTTTTCGTAATTTGCGCTCTCCAAGTCCGCCCATTCGGCATTGTTACGAATTTCCAACAGTAATTTTTTCTTTTTTTTTTTTAAAAAAAAATCTTTTAGTTGAAAGTTGAAATAAAATAGAAAATCTTCAATTTACTTGAATGTTTTTTCCTTTTCTCTCTCTCTAACTATCTTTTTTTTTCTCATTTTTCAACATCCATAAAACTATGGTTGATTAATTACATGAATATAAGTATTATAAATAGATCAGTTGCTAATTATCGTTTATATTCATAAATAAATCAGTTGTTAATTATCGTTTATATGATTTCATTTTGGTCATTTAAAATTTGTAAATTCAAAATTTTTATTTGTATAATTTAACATGTGAATAAATAATTCTATTACAACTATTTTAAAAACAAAAAACATTTTAAAAACTGTATGAAAAGTATGAAACCATAAATAACTGTCTGCAGCTCTGAATCATTGCGCAGTTCTCAATCACTGATCATTTACTGTTATCATATCAGCAACATCAATAATCTTCATATCATACCCAAAGCACTTACTATACTGATTATATGGTCAGTGTTATCATTCTTACACAAATACGGCTTATCACTAGACCACACTCATACTATTAGGATATTAATTGTGCTAGGCCAATTCTGTTATCACAATGAAGAATTATCAACTATGCCATGAATTGAACTAATATATTGTCTACTGGCAATAGATATGTCTCCAAAAAGTGACCTCTTCATCTAGGATATATCGATTGTTCCTAATGATCAACTCTAACTTCAAATCATGAAGCATGTGATAATAATGCCACGTAAGAATCTAATAATGCTACGTAAGAATCTAATAATGCTAAGTAAGAATCTAATAATGCTAAGTAAGAATCTAATAATGCTACGTAAGAATCTAATAATGCTACGTAAGAATCTAATAATGCTACGTAAGAATTTAGTAATGCCACGTAAGATATAACTCATTAACAAACATACTCCTCTTACATTGTCCATTAAAATTTCATTTATATCTTTTGCAAGCAGAGTTTACTTATTTGCGTTTGATTTTTTTCTTAGCTATCAATAGTCATCATTTACCTATACCACTGTCATAATTTACAACATTCTACACATAGATTTCTGTTTTGTTTAACTTTAATTGAAAAATCAATATGTCATTATAAATGATTAATAACTGCAGCACGGTGAATATAATGCATCGCAACTACCGACGTGTCCACCGGAACATGGCCGTCCTTTGCCTGCACCACTGTCGCCGAGATATCGAATAAATCCGTTCCGTGGTTCACCACCTAATCGTATTTATGTTCCAGTTGATAGGCAATTACCACAGGATCGAAAATTTGTATCTAAATTAGCAAAACGTCGTGGCGTTATCATTAATCCGTTAAGCGGTAAACTGACAATTGTCAAACGACGAACTCATTCATAATAAAATTTGAAATGATTACATAGAAATTCTAAATGCAATTTTTTCTATTAATCAATAAAAATTGAACTAGTGAATAAATCTGATAAGATTGAATTTATCATTTTCATTTTTTATTCATTTATTTTTTGAATTTCTAATTTTAATAATTTCATTTGGCAAAAAAAAGAACGAATAAAAAAAGGGATTGAAATTATTATTTTTTCTCGCTTTTTCATCCTTTCACTTTTGTTTCCTTATTGTTTTTTTTTTATTTGTTTTTTAGTTAAAAATTATTTCTTCATCAAATCAATAAAATCTTTAATATGTAAAATTGTTGAATCTTATTTTTATCAATTTATTATCAGCAGTTTATAATTTACATGAAAGTATGAAAGAAAAAAATGCATTCTTTATAAGTTACATTAAATTATATTTTATATTTAAATATTTTATCTACCATATGTTTCCTTTTCCTTCTCTCCATCTCTCCCTCTCTCTCCTTTGCTTTCTTTGTCAGCATTTCTTTTTATTTACTTTTTTTATCACAATATCATCACCTTATCATTGCTGCAACAGTAATTGATCATATTTTCCCATCACATTGATTTAATATTCAAATGATTTTAATGTTATTTTCAATTCTTTTTTCCTGAATATTCTGTCTATATTTTAAATTTAAAAAATTTAATAAACTTTAAAAATTAAAAAAAAAACGACTAAACTAAACTGATAAATTCGGAAATTATTTCTAAAGTCTGTGAATTTTATTCTCAAAAATAGCTATTAAATTTCAAAATTTTGTAAATTTCAATAAATCGTTCATATTTTCAAAAGCTAATAAATTCAATAAAATGCTTAAATGATAATTAATTATGTAACATTAATTAATCCAAAATACGTGAAAATAAAAACTATTAACTGCTAAAAAATCAAAATAATGCATAATCAATAAAAAAAAGTACTTTTATGCAAATAAATGCAAAGTAATTTTAATAAAAAATTAGCATAAACTTTTGGAAATTCTTTACTTCTCTTACAAATTTTACGTAATCAACACACGTACTGTTGACGTATATTTGTCGCTCAATCAAAGGTATATAATTTTGAAAAAAATTTTTTGTTTAAAACAATTAATTGAAAATTTAGAAGAAATACATATTATTAAATGATGTAAATGAATTTTTATTTCTACTATATTTTCAAATGCTTATATAAGTATATTTCTAATAATCATATTAAAACAATAAAATTTATAGCTTTATTTACATTCAATTTTTTTCTTTTTTTCTGCAAATATCATTTGATTCAGAAAAAAAAATATAAAAATGATACATTGTTTTTTTAATATGTCATTTTAATGTTTCTTTTTTTTTCGAGAAATGAACTGATAAATAACACAAAAAGTTTCTATGCAAAATAAAATAATAAATAACAAAAACAGAAAAAAAATTTTTAATGAAAATTTTTTGTCGTTTGGTCTTTTTTTACAATTTTTCAATTTTTTTGTTTATGAAAAGAAAATTTTTCTTTAAAATTATAAAAAATTGATTTTTCAATTAGAAATTGTAATATAGGAAATATTCAAAAAAACGTATTTTATTGTTGTAACATTTCTTTAAAAATATTAAAAAAAATCGTGAATAAAAGGAGAAAAAGTTTTAAATCAAAAATCTTTGTTTAGCATTTAAAAATTTTTTAATTGTTTTGTGTTTATATGAAAACATTTCTTAAATCGTTTTTTATTTTTCTTTTTGCTTTATGAAAGCTTTTAATGATAACTATCCAAATTTTAATTTTAAATTTTAAAATAATTTTTATTTCTCTCATCTTATTGAATACTTCGATTGTCATTTCTAATTATTTCTAATGAGAATAAACTGGATAACTAGAAATAGCAAACATTAATTCATTGCTTTTATCATTTCCAATAACGAAAAAGAAAAAAAAATTCTTTTTCGTTTTATTTTATTTAAAAAATTGAAAACTGAAAAGTTTATATTATCGTTATCTTTTTTTTTTTTTTGAAGTATTAATTGTTTCAATCTCACTAAAGCAACAATATTGTTTTATAAGCTTAATACTGGTTTAATAATTTTTATAGATATTACTTATTGATTGTAAAAAACGTTTGTGATTTATTTGCATATGCAAATAAATCAATACTCTTTCATATAAACAAAAAGTGAGAGGATAAAATCTTTCTAACAAATCATTAATATTGTCGTATTTTAGCAAAAATATTATATAAACACATAAGCTTTTCCACTTCTTATTAGGGCGAAATTTTTTTCATAATTTGAGAAGTTTAAAATTAAATAATTAAATTTAAAATTTTATGAAATAAACCAGTTCCAAATAAAAACGAAAATTTCTCTTTCCTTTTTTCCTCTTTATTTTTTTCTTTTTCTATTCTATACTTTCGAATTTCGATCAGCAGATGATAAGATCTCTTCCAAAATCATCGCAAGTAGTTTATTCTAAATCTCAACCGAAGCGCAATTTGCATATCGCTACTTGCTACCATGCATCTTTATTAGAACAAATATTTGCTAAAGTTTTAGTGCGACATTTGCTCATATCTTGCATTTTGCATTAAATTAAATAGACCAAAGTATATATAAGAGATATCAGCAATTATTTAAATTATTTTATATTCTTTGCAAAATAAAATTCCAATAAGCTATTGAAAAATGAAGGCTTTAAGACGATCGAAGCTATTATTAATGGTTTACTGAAATGGAACAGACTACTGAAAACAAAATTCTTTTTTCAATGAATAAATTATTTTAAATTAGTGCATTAGGTTTACTTATTACAGTTACTAAATTAAATTAGTTTTTTATTATTCATTTTAATTGTAACTAATTTTTACTCTCTAAATATTATTTAATTTAATGAATATAAATTTGAATTATTTAAATATAAAATTCTCAATAGTTGACGTAGTAACTATCGTTTGTTATTCGAATAATTATTAATTCCTGTTCATTTATTTTGCAATAAATTGAATATTTATCTTATTGGAGTTTTTTTCTTTTTTTTTTTTTTAAATGAATTCTTGTTTTAATTTATATCAAATGATTGCAACACATTTGAAATTAATATTTGCAAAAGACTTAAGATATAAAAACAAAAATTGATTATTAACTGAACACTTTAAATGTTATTATTTATGAAATTTATTCATTTGAAAGTAAAAATTTTCAAATGTATAGTTATACAAATAATTTTATTTATTAGAGAAAGATTAATATGTTTAACCAATATCATTAACAATTGACATGTTATCTTTCAATTAAATTCATTTTCATTTGCACAAATTTTTGTCCCGATTACTTGCATTGGTGTATTTGAGTAATTAAGCTAATTGCAATTAGTTTCATCAACTTTTTTTTAAATTTATTTGTGATACCCCGTGATAGTTATCATCATAAAGCACGAGATCTTAAGGAGGTGAAAATAATCCATCTTGAAAACTTTACCTGCCTAACTTAACTTTATCTTAAGCATCATAACCTCTATTGCTGATCCTTATCTGCTCGAAGGCAGTAATATCGATCACGTGATCAGTAAGCTGAAATAGCTCTGATGAAACCGTTTAAGGAGCTGCAGGTGACGACGGTAGATTGTCTAAGACCCGTGCGCCAGAGTAGACGTAGTGGTCAAGTGCGGTTTTCTTCAGATGCTTGTTGTTCCATACTTTTTTAAAGAGCTTCTGGAATGTTCTGGTATACCTTTTCTAACGTTGTCAATCCCTTAGCATCCAAGGACGTTTGTAAAAGTCATTGATTGTCTGAATAGAATCCGAGAGTGAATTGACGTACCTGAGAGTAATTTATAGAGACACCCTAATGTTGCCAGGTTTGCCACAAACCGTTTTGCTGAGGTGACTGATGCTTTGGTGAGATTAACAAATGTCACATAGAATTCTTTGACTGTTCCGTTTACTACACTTGTGGTTGTCTGAGAACAAAAATCAAAATACCGCAAGAGCGGTTCGAAAAGCCCATCGCAAAAACTTTATCAACTGCAAGGTACAAAGTGACACCTCGATGACTGTGCTTCCTTGTGCAAGGCGGTGATGACCGCATCTAGGAGGTCGGTAGCTTTGTTTCAGCACTTCACAATAAGCGCCTGGAATTAGCATGGAGTGCTAGACCTTCCAGATCCAGGATGGAATTCCATCAATCCCACATGTTCAGATACCAAATTTCAATTGCTGTGCGGTTCTGAGCGACTCCTCTAGGCTATCAGTGATAAGGGAGCGCTGTGGACATAATATACTGCTTTCAGAGTCACCCGGAGTCATCTGCGGTTGCCGGTATCTGCGAATGATTGCATCTTTTATGGTAGATCGGTCCATCTGTTTTCCCTCTTTAATTTTGTATCAAAATGATTGTGTCATATTTGAAACCTACATTTGCGGTTCAGAACTTAAAATAAGCTTTTATTAATTCAATTACATAACATTATTATCATTGTCAATTTTTACTCATTAAGCATTTGAAATTAACAGATGAAAAGTTGGTATTCATAAGTTTCATTAACTATAGAACTATAAATTTTGAAAAAAAAAATTTGCGGTCCTATAAACTATTTGTTTGTTAAGACTAAATGTTATATGCTTAATGATCAATAGAAATATTATGAGTTTAGTAATTTGCACAATTCAAGAATCGTTCCAATTAATCATTAAATATTTCTTATCATATTGTTAATTGTTTGCATAATCATTTACTGAGGCAATAAACAAATAAGAAATGCTTACATCAACAATAATAATGGTACTAGCATTTGTGATAATTATTAAGTAAAAACAGCGCTAGCAATTATTTATCCAAAGAATATGCAAAATTTACACTTTCTTTCACAAATAATGTTAACTTAAGCTGATAAACTTGTGAGATATCACCCTTATTGGACTGTTATTTAGTTCTCATTAAAATTATTCCAATGTTTGCATATATTTAGAATGAAATACATAAGTGTTTAATTAGTAATTAAACACCTTCAAAGTTACACCTTATATCTTCAAAGTCACAATGTAAACTATGTTACGAAAGGTGGTTAAATTTTGATTTAAATGAATGAAAAATGAAAAAATTGAGTGCTTAAATTTGTGCATGCATAAATAGCACAAATACTATTTTTATTGATAATAAAAATAATTTAAGTGGAATAATTTGGTAAAACTTAATGTGTTCTTTAATCTAAATGCTTTTTATAATTTTAAAAAAAATTAAAAACCTTGCATTAGCTTTCATTACCACACTAATATTGTTTATATTTAACAAAAAGATGGGATGTTTTTAAAAAAAAGAAATAAAAATAAATGATCTAAAGAATTTGATGATATTCAAATGAATTATTTAAGTGAAGAATTCATTGAGCGATGAAATTAATTATTGTTATTTCATAAAGCTTTGCTTTAAATTATTGCATAGGTATATGAAAAGAATATTAGGAATCAAAATTACATTCAAATATTATTGACAAATAATTTACTATGGAATATTTAAATATATTATTTATTTATTAGAGCAAAAAATTATTTGATAATCTATTTGATTAATTTAATTTAAGCTTCATTACACTAGCACATTGCCCTTGTCTATTAAGGTTTAAAAAAAAAAAGTATATTAGCATAATGATATGATATATTTGTCCAAATGAAATGCTAAAAATTTAAAATTAGCTTAGCTTAAGATTGAAACAGTTATTGATTTTATTATTACGATAGAAGTGTAATAATTCCTATTAATTTATAATATTAAAAAATTTATAAAAATTTAATGAAATTTATAATTATAATAAAATTGAAATTATCAAATTCAAATATCAAATGATTTATTACGTTATACCTTCATGATATTGTTGTCGATAAGGATAAAATATTTTATGTAAATTATTTTATTAATTTAACGTCTTCTTTGTACAACTGTTAAATCAATAAAATTGTATAAATGAAATGGAAATATTAGATCAGCCATAGACTAATGACAATAATTACTTTACAAAAAAAAAAAAAAAAAAAACGAATAAATTTCAATTATTAGTTATTTCATGCATGCCAAATGTTTAGTTTTTTATAAATTATTCAATATTTTAAAATATTTTGCTCTTTTATTTTCTTAATTTCTTTCAAAATAATTTTTGTATTTTTTTAAAAGTATTTTGTAAATTCCTATTAGATCTTTACATACTTATCACCTTGATTAACATATATATATATATATATATATATATATATATATATATATTTTGTAATTATATACTATTTTATTCAACAAAAAGTACCATTCATAATTTGTCCTAATTACTATTAATTACATTTCACTGTTAAAATTAATTATAAAATGCTTGAAGAATTATTAGATTATTGTCTAACAGTGTTTTCCTTTCCTTTTCTTTTTATTTTCATTTGAGTTAATTTTCAATAATTAATTAGCATTTTAGATGAGTAAAACAATATATGAAAGCATTGTCAGATGCCTTAAACGGTTATTATATCGTTTCCGGTATTTTCTTATTATTATTGCTATTACTTATGGCTTTATTATGCTATCATATAATTTAAGGAATTATAAATTACAAAGAAAGGTAAATGCATTCATAGTTAATTGTATATTATTTAATTGATTGTTTGCTATTATGAATTGTTGGGTATTCTATCTCTTTTTTTGCATTTTTCATTAGCTTAATTAATTAATTGATGGAATAGATAAAATCATAACGTCAACTTTAATTAAATAAAAATTACGAATGACTTTATCAAAAATTAATTTACATTTGAAATGAAATGAATTAAATTAAGGAAATTAGTGATGAGGATGATAGTGTGTTAGAAAAACAAATAATTAATAATCAACGATTGAATTATGCCAAAATGTATGAACAAGAATCGAATATACATAATATTATGAATGGTATTCCTTTTTTAAATCAATTTTTTAAGTTCTAAATTTGATTTCTTTTTATTCTAAACATAAACGTATTTGTTTGGAAAAAAGCATATGCACTGACCCAGTCATCTATTAGTCAAATTACATTTGCTTCTGATAATTTTAATTACAATTACAAATTGTAAATATTTAAAGACAATTTGAAAATTTTTGTTAAACATGATCAATCTGACATTTTAACTTTTACTGTTTTAAATGTAAATATTTAAGTAAACAACATTTATACAATTTTGTGTATTATTATCTCATAAATATACATTTCATTACTATTTCATTTATTCGCCAATTCAATTAAAATATATTTTTTGAATATTTCAAAATTGATTTGCTTCCATATTATTATGAAATTTATTATCAGTGCATGAAAATGTATGATAAACTAAACCAAACAAAGACAATAAAAAGAACAAAATTATTTTGTAATATTTTTAAATTTAAGTTTCTAACCCAAAATTAAGTTTTTAGTTTCATTTATCATTCATACGAAATTTTTTTAAGATTATTTTTGTCAAATAAGTTCATATGAAATTTTCTCAAATTATTTTAAAAAAGACATAATGGAAGTAAATATTTGCAGCTATTCCATTAAATTCATCACAACATGGCGTAATTATGATTGAAAATATTGTTGGCGAAGATTCGAATGTGACACGTCAACGATTTATACCACCGGAAAATATTGGTTAATTTGAAAAAAATTCGCTTTTTTGAAATTATTTGCACTTTCACCGTCCAAACTTTGCAAAACTTTTGTGCCATGCGAAACTATTTAATTTGCATCATTAAAAAATATCGATTAATAAAAAAAGCTATCAATTTAAAAATTTTTTTCCATATATTCAAAAAATGTTACCATTTAAAATTAGTTTAAATTCTATGAAAAATTAAATTAAACAAATTGCATCTTCTTTTTTGAGAATCAAATTTGCCAGACAAACTATTAATTAATTTCGCCTCCTTTCTTGCAACGATAATTTTTAGGAGAAAGTGTGAAAATAATTGAACTAAGTAATGAAATTACTCAAATATCGAATATTAATATGGGTGGTTGTAAAGAATGGAAATGTATCATTCATTCTCGAAAATCTGATATGATTATGCCAATAGCTGAAGCTATTTTGATGAGTTCGCCGAAAGAAAGTTATCAGCGATACCCCAATCAATATTATGTCCTTTTCACTCAGGTAATGATAAATTACACCTTTCATTCAGATGATAATGAGAGGCAACATTTAATACATGAATTGATTTGATCAAAGTTTATTTTATTCGAATTAGAAAATAAATTATTTTTATCAAAAAATTTAATTGTATTGTAAAAATAAATTAATTATAATCAAATATTATGGTATTGTTTGCACATAATGGAATAAATGAATTTATTTAAATCAAATATTAAAGCATTGTTTTGGAAATTGGCAGATAATTAAATCGGTAATGAATTTATTATAGACAAACCTTACGATATTACTTCAGGAATTAGCAGATACAATGACATTGCATCAGGAAACAGCACGGATAATTAGATAATTGTAAACGTCATTGCGACCGGAAATGACAGCACTATTTCAATATCATTTCAGGAGTGTACAGATAATTATATGATTAAATTATTACGGTATTACTTTAGGAATCACCAGCTAACTATCCGGTTATTGATTTATCCTTTAATTTATCACTGAATTTTATTCGTAACAGTCCAATTTCATCACCATACGGTTATACGGTTAAATTAGCAAAAGCTTCAAAGCCAATAGGCTCAATAATTCATGGTGATATTATACAAAATAAAACAATACCGATTGCGTGGTTTGTAAGTAATTGTAGGACAGCAAGTCAACGTGAACGTTACGTCAAACATTTAAAGGTTCTCTTCTTTTTTTTTCCTCTTTCTTTTATATACATACATTATTATTACTAATAATTATAGTTATTATTATCAAATACTATTGTTGCAACAGTTATTATTGAACAATAACTGAAAAAAAAAGCCAATAAGAGAATTTAAATTAAACAATAAGGGAAAAAATACGAGAAAAACAGAACAATAAGAGGATATAAATTAATTTATAATATGCAAAAAAAGTAGAATATAAATTAAGCAACACGAGAAGAAAAATATGAGAAATTCTAAACAATAAAAGAATTTATTTCATAATATATCAAAAAGCAGAAAGAATTTTAAATCACATTAAGAATTTACAGAATTTTAAATTCTTTCTCATGTTCATTATTTACAAATATTTTAATTATGAGTGATTAATTGAAAAATTACCCTACAGCAATTCCACCAATTGTTTATTTGCTAATAAAAAGAGATTAAATACAAAATATAAATATGCGTATATATCGATATTAATGTAAATTAATATCTTTCAGAAATATTTAACGGTGGATATATTTGGCTCATGCGGTAATATGCGCTGCAAACAAAACGATGCATCATGCGAAAGTCAACTCGATAATGTGTATGCATTCTTGCTAAATTACATTCATTAACATCGCAAATTTACATTTTTTACAGAATTTTGCAACTATCATTTAGCATTACAAATTTTATTCCCTTATTTAGCATTATAAATTAGTAATTGTTTATGTTAGCCACGTAAATGCACATTTCATAGCATCAGGAATTCATATTTTTTCATAGCAATTACGAATTCGCATCTATATAGTATCATAAATTCGCATTTGCATAGCATTATGAATTCGCAAACTTTCGCATTCTTCATAAGTGTTAATAATTCATAATCATTTGTGTGACACCATAAATTCGCAAGAATTCTCATTCTTTATAAGAATTCGCAATCTTACATCTGAAATTCGTGAATTACAATTCTTTATCACATATAAACACTGAATTAACATACAGTAAACAGTAATATTTATTGCTTTATTTTTGATCAAATTTATTGTAAGTATGAAAACTTAAACAATATCATCATTTAAATCAAAGAAGTAAATTAAATTTCAAAAAAAAATAAAAGAAAAAAAAACCTTTTAATTTTATACAACAATTATTTAATATGTCAGCACAGCAATAATTGATAAGAAAGAAAAATAAAGATTAAGAAAAGTTAAATTATTGATATAATAACCGAATCTGTTAATATTTTTGAATATTAAAAAAAAATAAAGCTAATTATTAATTTTCAGCTATTATTTTTATTTATCATTTGAAAATTCAATATGTGAAAATTATATAACAGAAAAATTATGGAAGCATGGATACGGTCACGACATTATACCAATTGTATTAAAACGATCGATCGTTGAACGATATGTACCACCGCACTCATTCATTGCTGTCGATGACTTTACAACAATTCTTGATCTTGCTAATTATTTAAAATATTTAATGCATAATCTATCAGCATACAAGTAATTAATATCGAAATTAACATTTAATTGTATTTGAAATATTTATTTTATAGTAAATTCGCATACAGATTTAATTTTTAATTGGAATTAATTTAATTGCCTCATTTTTTATTTTAATTAATTATTAATATTTTTATATTGTATTATCGATTAATATTTTTCCAAAAAATAGCTTCTTAATTTTTTTTACTTATCTTCATTTATTTATTTAATTTCCAAATATTTAATAGAAAAAAAGAAGAATGAAAAATGTTCGAATTTAAATATAAGAATTTAATTGTTTTTCTTAATATAATTTTTTTTTTTTATTTCATTATTAGCAACTTAAAAAATTTGTTTTTGTTTGTTTTTTTGAGAAATTATTTCTTAATAATTAATAATAAAATAAATATAAGGGAGTATTTTGAATGGAGACGAGATTATAAGGTGTTATTTTTGGATGGAAATATTCATGATCAGTTGGAACGACCGTGGGGATTTTGTCAACTTTGCAGGTCATTCATTTACTTGCGTTAATTGAAATAATTAATTAGGATGATTAATTTCAGATTAAAATTTTAGATTCAGTTAGAATAAATAATGAAAAAAATTTCTAACATTTTAAACACATATTTGTTTTTTTTTTTTAAATTTTCTATATCTTTCCATTCCACTATTGATTACTAATTGATTTACGATATATATATATATATATAAACATATTTGTATAATTTAAAGATTATTATGGATGAAACCGCGCCCAAAATATGTTATTGAAAATTTCACCGTTTTCTGGGATAATAAATGTGAATCATCTGGCACATTAGTGAACAGAATTTTACAAGAAGAAAAATTAACAAAAAAAAATTAATTTCGATGCGAAGTTATCATGATTAAGTTTACTATCATTGTTGTTATTGTTGTTAGTGATAGTGATAATCAGAATATCTGCTCAATAATAAAAATAATTATTATTTTGACGAAATAGCCTAAAAAGGATTAATATTCATTAAAAAAAATTTTTTTATTTTTTTTATTTTAGTAATTTTATCGAAGCTTATTGTTACATTATAAATCAATTATTATTTTAATATTTTACAAAAAATCTTAAAAATTGTCTCTAATAAGAATCACGCAATAACGAATAATAATTTCTGATGGATCGCATTTTATGCGGTAATTAATTTGATTTTCAAACTTATTCAGTCGAATAAATAAAAGAAAAGAAAAAGCATCAAACTTTTTCTTCTTTAGAAGATATATAATTATTGATCAGTTTTAAGTAATGTTTAAAATTTTCGATTGCCAATGTTTTGTTTAATTTTGTGAATCCAGTTGTAAAAAATTGAATAATATTTTTGATAGTTTCGTGAAATGAAGAATGAATGTATTCCAATTTCATTTCAGATTTCAATTTCGGTCTGAGTATTGATTTTATGTGATTATGAACTAACTTATGATTTAACTCATCTCCAGTGTCGCTTTATAATTTATTTACATTTTAAATTTATTATATAGTTTTATCATTATAAATTTATTATAAAATATTAACATTCGATATCGTTTTATTAAAATTTATCATAAAAGTATTAACATTCAAACGGCAGTCGCTTCAATCGCAAAAGATTGAAAACACATACCAGAACTTTAGAATAACTTTATCCGGAAACTGTTTTCTACAGACGATGCTATGTTCGCAGTCTAGACGCAAGCGTCACTGTATTTGTGTAATTCATACTCTGTAGAGACTGCAAAACATTCCGGAATATATGTCAGTTTGCAGAACACAAAAGTTCTGTTTTGGCTGTCATCACAGGTTCCATCATAAGCTTATCTAAGCTTACATCAGTTTAGCAATTTACCTTCTAAGGAGAGATCATTTCCTGGAATGCTAAGATCAATAATAGACTAACAAAGGTATGCTAGCAGAACATTCTGGAAATTTTATAAAAAAGTATGGGACGGTGAGGATCTGAAGAGAGACTGTCACAGAGCCATTGCACTGTATATTCTTCCGTGCGATCACTACCTGCGACTCCACTGGTTGTGTCACCAAAGAAGTACGTGTCTCACTTATGAAAGTCAAAGCATGAGAGAGACACGTGAATGTGATATCAGTGAAATGAAATTTTTAACGCTTTTAAATTTATTACTATTCATTACAATATGATAAATGAACAAAATAATAGTAGTAAAATAATGATAATAGCATAATAATAGCGATAGTAATAAACAATTAATGAAAAAGTTAAAAAATGTGTTTTGTAAAAAGGCAAAAAAACAATTCAATAGGAATATTTTTAAAATTTGAGTTATGTCAAATAATAATTATTATTAATAATAACAATAATAATAATAAACAATTAAAATAATATTTCCAAAATTTGAAATCTGTTAAAGAGAGTGAAAGAGTGAAATGTTACATTAATTGGATGATTGTTACAGGAAGCATCATTTGAATTTACAATTATAAGAAAAATGTGACGTGTTTTTTGAAAAATCAATCTTTAAAAAATTATTTAAAGTTTATTCTACGGAAAGAGCAAGAAATATTGAATGTAAAATTTTTACCTGAATTTATCAATAATGAATTTGCTAACAATGATAGAAATTTAAAATTATTATGCAAATGATAGAAATTTAAAATTATCCCTTTTAAATTTTATCGTAGTATTTCTTAAATTAGACAAACGTAAGCGTAAAAAAAGTATTACCAATTATGTTAACTGATGTGAAGAAAAAAAGTATATTACATTTCAGAAACTTTAATTTTATATAACATATATATTTCAAATTAATTTAGATATATATATATATTTCAAATTAATTTTAATAATATTCTATATTATTTCATATTTTACAATATTAGAAACGTGTGAACTTTGAACTTCCGCTATTACATGCTTTGATTGTAGTATATTCTTTAGAAACCGACATTTCATTGCTGTAATTATCAACGATAGTTTCAGGTAAATTATCAGCTGCCTGTATCACCTCCAGGTGAGTTGACAAAGTTGACAATTTTTCTTCTATTTGACTTTCTTCCTAAAAAAAAGATGAAAAAAGAACAAAGCGACAAAAAGAAATTCAATTTGATGAAAATGTTTATTATTATCATTAGCATTATTTTAATCATTATTTACTGTCATTATTATCATTAGCATTATTACTATTATTATTGTTACTATTAATCATTATTTAATATTATTACTACTAATTGAAAAAAAAACATTTCTCACTTTTTTTACTTGCTATTTATTTCAATCTATAATATTATTCAACCTTTTTAAATTTGTTTAGTTCCCTTAATTCAATCCTTCAATACTATAGCTATAAATAATACACATTGCTTGCAATTTTTTACACAAGTATAAAATAAAATAAGTCATGAAATTCGCCTCAATTTACTTAAATGATTGAATTATTTTTACTTTAGAGCAACAGTCATTACTTGCTCTTATGCAAATAGCCAATATTTTGAGTATTTATTGAAATTTTTAAGAAAATAATAATACCTTTTTAATTACAATATTTTCACTCCCAAAAAGTGATATATTTATGATATGCTTATCATGCTATTATTATTTTACTATTATCTGCTTATTTTTTTTTACAAATAATAAAATTTATGCAGTTTTCAAGATTAAACAAAAAAAAAAAAAAACGAAGTGTCATAGAAAGTGTCATCATATAAAATACTTAGCAATTTATACTTACCTCATCATCACCATCATAGCTAATTTTTTCCGAATTTATCGAATTATTTTCTTCTTCCTTTTGCATATTTTCATTTTCAGTTTTGCTCATTTTCTTTCGTAATTTTTGTCCTTTCCTTTTAAATTGCCTATTTTGCGATTTTTTATTATTATTTTTATCGTTTAATAATGAGAAATGCTTAGTAGTGTTTGTTTCACATCCATAATTTTGCTTTCGATTTTCTTCTTCTTCGTGAAGAATACTTAATTCACGGCGTTCTTGCTGCTGTTGTTGTTGTCGTTGCCGTTGTTGTTGTTGTTGTTGTGGTTGTGGTTGTAGTTGTGGTTGTGATTGTTGTTGTGGTTGTGGTTGTAGTTGTGGTTGTGATTGTTGTTGTGGTTGTAGCTGTGGTTGTAGTTGTGGTTGTGATTGTGGTTGTGGTTGTGGTTGTGGTTGTGGTTGTGGTTGTGGTTGTGGTTGTGGTTGTAGTTGTGGTTGTGGTTGTGGTTGTGGTTGTAGTTGTAGTTGTGATTGTTGTTGTGGTTGTAGCTGTGGTTGTAGTTGTGGTTGTAGTTGCAATGATGAATGCAATGAATTGTGATTTTCTGAAATTTAGAAATTATTTTGTTAAATAATAATCTTTTCTTCTAATTATAGCACAAAGTATTACTTTTATAATAAGTACCATTTAATTTTAAAATAATTAAATAATTTTTTAATTTTTGTACTTTGTTTTTTGCACGAAATCAAATTAATTACATTACTTATTATTAAAGTTATTAGCAAATAGTCTCTTCTAATAATATTTATTTTTCAATTTTTTAAAATATTACTTGTTTTTTCATATAATACTGGTGATTCAACGTCAGTGACAGATTCTACACGTGATGTCAGACGTGATAATCGTCGTTTGAATGCGTTACGAATATCGTTTACTGTCATACTTAACGCGGAATTTCTTCTAAAACTGAATCACTACAAAAATGATAGCAAAAAGTAAATTGCAGTATTTTTTTATTGTAAAAATTAATTTTTGAAAACAAAATTAATGTAAAAAATAATTTTTAAAACAAAAAGTAGAATTGATAAAGCATTAATAGACAAAGTAAAATTTGCATAATAAAAAATAATCACTCATATTTTAATTATTATTTTGCAATGAGATAAATTTTGCAACTTAATAGTGTATCGTAATATAATCAATAAAATGATTACTTTTAAAATGAAGTCAATTTTTCTTTTCTTAAAATTTTAAGCAATCCAAAAAATAATTTCAATTTTACTTAATTGGTAATTAATGTTTAAATCATTTAAGCTGTTCTAACCGCTTATATAAATATTAAACAGTTCGAAATTCATGCTGCTACATCTATGCGACACTGATTAAAATTGGTTAATTTAATATTTTGCTTTAATTAAGTAAAACTTTACTAAACTTTAAAAAGAGCATTCTGGCACTTGAAATTCAACATTAATTAGTATTTTTTGCCTATAATAATTAGTAAATTATTTTACCTTCCACTATCATACCTTCCACCACCACATTCACTACTTGGCAAATCGCTATCTGAATTTAAATGTAGCATTTCTTTCATTATCATTTGTGTACTTGACCGTCGACTAAAATTTAAAATTACAATATTTATTAAATGAAAAAATTATTAATTGGAATAAAAAATGAAAGGCAAGAAAGAAAATAGTTGAATTAAAATTGGTGAGTAATTAAAAATTGCTAGAAATTTAAAAAATTACTAAATGATAACATAAAATCACTATTTGATATACTGCAGAATTTTAACAACTTTTGAAAAAAAAACTGCAAATATGAAATCAAAACTAACTACATTTTAAATTATATTATTTAAAATCTAAAAAATGTTTAGTAAAGTTGTAAATGAAAGAAAAGTTCCAAATAATATTTAAATATTGATTTAATAAATCAATTTAAATGTTTAAAGTACAAGTTAGTGCATGAGACTGATCCGGTTTGCGGATTGTATCGTTCGTTGATCGCATCAACGCTATACATCGGTTCCGGTGTTTTCATCATCCAGAATTGATCCTTAATTAATGGTGGTTCCCACATTTGATCAACTATTGTCATGCCAACCTATGAGTAAATGAGGGTTCAAAGACTTAAAAATAACTTTAGTAAAAAATATGAAAGTTAATTTAAAAAAAAACCAAAGAAATCAAAAATTTTTTTAAATCAAAAACAGTAAAAAGTTTTTGCAAAATATTCTAAAATACTATTAATTTTATTTAATAAATCAAGTTAAATATTTACCTATGCATACATATTTAAAATTACTTGAAATATACCGTGAATTTTTAATACTTGTAAATGTAAAATACACTTAGCGTAAGTAAGCGTAAAATTGAAATTATACCTGTAAATTACGATCAATAAGCCAGTTAATTTCCAGGTCATCGTCATCGTCACCAAATGGATTCATCAAAACTTCAGCAACTTTCATCCAACCCATATAAAATATGAATTGGCACATTGATATGAATGGTATATGCGTGTTAATCTTAATAATTGATTGATTGATTGATTGATTGATTTGTCTTTTTATAATAATAATAGAAAATTATTTCCAATGTCTTAAAATTTTCAACTTATCGCAATTAAATTTTCAAACTATGATTATTAAAATGATAACAATAAAATAAATAATAGATATTAAAAGCAATTTCATTTAATTCAATTGACAAATACTCCAATATTATATGATGTAAAGATTCATAATTTAAAATATTTAATTACCAAAGCTTGAAATTGCTGAAATAAATACTAAATTATACATTTTTGTTTAATTCATTAATAAAATAATGTATTTCTAAAAATCTTTCTAATAGAAATATTATTTTAATATATTCTTATATTAAAATGAATTACATTATATTTATAAAAGCGAAACAAAATTGTTTATTTTTGTTTTATTTAAACATACAAAACTTAAAATTTTTATTTATGTGGTTGAACTGATTTAAAACAAAAAAAATTTCACACAAAATTTTTTTAAAATAAAGTTCTATTTAAACTAGTGAACTAATTTAAAATCGATCAATGTAGTTTAATAATTTCAAAAAAAAAAAATTAAAAATTAAAAAAAGATAAACTGTATCGACGTAATTTGCATCGGGTGACTGAGCAATATTTTGATGTCCCATTAATGCAAGAAAAAAATACAATCGAACAGTTAAGCAAATCACTTGTGAATAAACCAATGGTATTGGTACCCAATCAATAATAATTAATTGTGCTAATTGCAATCGGAAATTATTTATTTTCTAAAATGAAAAGTTTTTTTTTCTTTATTCAAAAATAAATTTATTTAACTTTTTTCTTTCAACTTTTTCTTCCTCTTTTCTTCTTTCAAAATAATTCTTTCTTTTTTTTTTTTCAAAAAAAAAGATAAGTTTTACATCAAAAATATCTTGCAATGCATGCGGGCTATCGATGCGCTTTTCTTGTCGCGCACGTCGTGCCAATCCCATTGCCCAATGAATTGGTATCCAATATTTGCGATTTGTTGAATTAATTGCATTAAATTGCATTAATTCAATTTCTGTTAAATAACCTAAAGAAAAAGTTTTTTTTTTTGGAACATAATTTTATTTTAATAAAAAGTATAAAAATAGATAGAAGAAACTCTGATTTTAATAAAATTTTGAGAGAACGAAAAAGCATAATTTGCATATTTCATAATTTAGTAATTTATTAGTGTATATTAATTAAACTAATTTTTTCTATCAAAATTCAAAAATAATAATATATCTTACAGATTTTTAATTTATTATTGCATGTTAATTATAATTTGCATATCTTATAATCCAACAATTTATTAATGCATATTAATTAAATCATTTTTTACCATTATCCAAATTATATGCAAATATAAGTTATCCTTTATAAAAGTACCATTTTCCAGAGAAAAAAAAAGTCTAATTATATTAGTTAATTAAAGGAATTATTTGACCGAATGTTTTAAATATACTAGTGCACTAATATTTATTGAAAAAAAAAAAGATATAAATGTTAACAAGTAATTGTTTTTACTCAATTTATTTCGATATTTTATTTTATCACTACTTAATAACCTAATCAATTATTTTTCTTTCCTTTAGTCCTATCATAACGATCTGATTAGATAAATTTCAAACAATTGAAATATTTCACGAATGAATTTACCAGCTGTTACTAATGTTTCCAATGAAGGAAATCTTCGACGTATCACTTCACTGATATCACGATATACAAGTACCTTCAAAAAAAAAGAAAAAAAAAAAATGGAATAATTAAAATTCTTCAAACGTACATTAAATGAATTTAGAAATGTAAATTATTAAAATTCATAAAAATATAAATCGTATGGTTTTAATTTTGAGAAAGAAAGAAACATTGCTGTAGTAATTTATATTTTTTTAAATCTTTAAAAGAATTCTTGCAATCTTATTCTAATAGTATCAAATTAATCATCTATTATTGAATAATTTAGAGTAATTTAAAAATTTTCAGAATTAAACAAAAATTTGTAATAATTTTAAAATAATGAAATATAAAAAAAAAATGTAAAAATTAAAATTACAATAAACTTGCATTAGTTATTATGTTATAAATGTAAATTAAAAAAAATTTTTTTAAAGTCTACTGAAATCTTAAAATTTTTGGAATGATTCATTATATACCTGATGAAACAGTAAGTAACGGATTATATTACGACGTAATAAACGTGCGTGATCATCGCTACCAGAAATATATTTGCATATATATAAAGCTGATCTATAAAAAAAAAAAAAATATTATTAATCCAATTATTCATATTTTCAGATTATAGTTTAACCTTTCATTTATTTTTTTTATATTTTTTACTTTCTGTTTATTTCTTGACAAGTTTCTACGTTTCTACTTTTATTCAGTTTTATTTTTTAGCTTTTTATTCGTTTTATCATTAATGATAATTTAGTAATTTGATAATTTTATAATTGCATAAAACAAAAAATATTAAAAATTATTTGATTATAACAAATATTATATATTTATTTTATTGAAATATAAAAACAAACGCACATGACATCACTATCTTTCATAACTAATTGCTCATTTAAATTATTATATTCAATTTACAAAGCATAAAAAAAAATAAACACAAAACGAAAACCAACGTATCAATCCAACCGATATTACGTAATGAACTCCAAAACCTATTAACAACAATATTAATAAAAAAACCAAGCATAAATGTTATTGGCATTACATCAGTATATTTTGTAAATAAACGGCATATATTCTCAAAGACTCTGTAAAAAAAATATATAAAATTGAAAAATTTATTGATGTGAATTTTAATTCATTTCAATTCATTTATACTATTAACATTAATCACAATAAATTTTTCTCTTTTTTCTTCTCTTTCTCTTTTTGATTATTAAATAACTAAGTTTAAATGGACAAATTAAATTCAATTTAAAAATCAACTAACCACAATTAATCTCGATAATTTCGATAATAAATTTAGATTTCATATTCAATAAATTGAACATAATTTAACATTTAAAACATTACAATTAATATGGATGGCTTTTTCTTTTTCTATTTTTTTTTTTTTTTTTTTTTTTTTTTGCTGGAGAAATTAAATATTATTAATTTATAGAGTTGATGGATAATTTGTGATGATTTAAACTTTTCATGCTTATTGCAATTTAATGATATTTTAAAACATATTTGCATACCTTTTGTGTGTTTTTTTTTTGAAGTGTAACAATGTTTGAATTAAATATGAAATCAATGCTAAATGTGTATATTATTTATTGTGTTGGAAAAAAAGTAAACAGTTGTTGTAATAAAAAAGTGCTAGCAATGAAGAAAAGAATAGATTATTCAATTTCATTCTTTGCTTTTTAAATCAAACCTTTTGTAATTTTCTGACAACACAAAATTGTACAGTACTGAAAGAGAAGCATAAGCAATCATCCATATAATAAGCTCATTGAAGATTGATTTCCAAATGCTACCTCGCCACCTGCAAGATAACATACTAATCATACTTTATCGTAGTAATAGTAATAAATTATAGTAATAATAGCAATGAAAATGGTCTATAATAATAATAATAATAATAATAATAGTAAAATAATTAATTACTTAAATAAATATATGAATAAACAAATAATAACAACATTTTATACTTTAAACCATTTTTCTTGTCTACTTTAAAAGGAACGTGCAATATTTTTTCTTAACATTTTCATTCTTATTAATTTCTTTAAAAACTATTATTATTATTTTTTAGCATTATCATATTTATTTGTTGATTTATCTATTATCAATAATAATTTTAAAATGAAGCAAAGCATATATACCTAAAGATTAATTTTCCAAAAGTGGTAAATCGAACAGTACTAACATCCGCTGAATATGTTACTGTCATGTTGAATATTCTTTTGCCCGAAATCAAAAATTAATATGGGTAGCTGCTATCGATAATCAGTGAATTGACATTTTTTCGGGCGTTTTTTTTTTTTTTTTTTCTTTTGAATTTTATTAACTTTAAAAAAGTTAATTTTTGCTAGCATAAAATGCTGGATTAACCCGATCATCTAAACAATTCATTTCTTGGTACCAATATTATCGCAAATTTAAAGTACCATTCAAAATGAAATTCTCAAAGCACATCATCGATCTTTCTCGTTTAAAGTAATTACTGTTCACATTACCTTTTAATCTGACAAATCAATAAATCTTACCTTAAAAAATAATAAGCGAAGACTTTTTTCCCTACTTCATTAATGCTTCTAAACAATTGATATTTTACTTTATTAGAGTAATGGTGTTCTTATCTATATATTAAAAATGGTTTTGATATGTAAATTTATTGAAATGAAACATTTGAGCAATGAAAAAAAAAGTATAAAATATAGTTAAAATTAAACAACTGACTTATTTTTTCAAAGAAAAATTCCTAGTTTTCTGTATAAAATAAAAATAAAATCTCCCTTATAGCTTTTCATTTTTCTTAATATATTAATTGTAACATTGTTAAGAACAGAAAAACTTTTTTGTTAAGAACACAAAAACAATAAATATAAATATATATATATATATTTAATTAAGTTCAAATCATAGGAATGGAATGCATTAATTATAATTAATTATATTAAATATTAAAGTCATTCCTTCCATTTAATTCCATTCTAATTAATCCTTACTTTTTTGACCATATTTTATAATTTAAATATGAAAAACTAATCTCTAATTTATTCAAGACTGAAATATTATTTAATAAAAATATTATACGAATAAAAAGTATTTTACAATTATCCTTTTTAATAATAATATATGATATTTGAATATTGTTTAATTACATCGTTGTGCAATAATTAATTACCACAATATTACTTAATGAATGATTGTTTTTTCTTAACACTTAAGATAGTTAAAGTATTATAGGAATAGAATCAGTTAAAGTATTACAGGAATAGAAAAAAAAAATCGTTTAATCAAAAGATGAAAAAAAAAAGGAAGGAAGAAAAGATATTGGAAAGCAATAAGATACAATGCTTATTGTATTTGATATGTTGAAAATGCAGCAATGCATATATTTAAAATATATTACAATGTTTACTTATTATCTCATTGCTAATGCTATTCGGAACGATTGTTTTATCTTTTTTTAAAAAATTCCTCTATTATTAAGTAACTTACTTATTTATCAAATTTTTTTTTCTTCCATTAAATTTGTTTTTTTATTTTAATACACTAATAGATTTTGAAATTTATTTTTGCAAAATTTTAAGTAAAATAAAAAAAATGATTCATACGTTATAGATTATTATCTAAAGTTTAAAATTATATGTGCATGCGTTGTTGTATCATTTTTAGTTTTTTCAATCTTTTTTTTTTAATTTTTTACTTCGTCAATTTCATTAACACATGTTTATGATAACATTGATGATCATGATAATGACAATAATAATAATAATAATAATAATAATAATAATAATAATAACAATAATAATAAAATATTAACTCATTATAAGAGAGAAAGATAAAATAAAGCGTGGGTGGAGAATATGAATTTAATCATATTAATAAAGTTTTAAAACTTTCTATTAAGCAAAAAAATGACAACGAAGAAAAATCATTTGCGATGTGTGAACAAATCGATTGAATGTGCTTGTTGTTTGCATTGGAATATTAATTAAATTCATTGTATGATACAGTTTTCATTGCTATTTCGTATAAACAATTCATTTTCTTACCTTTTTTCTTTATGATAAAAATGAGTTTATGCATACAAATTTAATTGAAATTTAATGCATTTTGTATATTTTTATTTTTGTAAAAGTGAATAAATTTATTCCATTAAATCATTAATGTTATTACATTAAAACTGAATGAGAAGCGAGGTGAAAAGAGAGAGGACAGAAGGGAGAGAGAGGCAGTAACAAGTAGAAAAAAAAAGTATTAAAAAACTTTTCTAAAATACTTTCATTCGTCCATTCCTATGTCAAAAGATTTAATTTGAGAGTTCTACAGCGCAGTACCGTATCCCATGTGGTCTAGTGGGTAGGATTCGTGGCTTTCACCCACGCGGCCCAGGTTCGATTCCCGGCATGAGAATGCCCTAACACTTTGTCTGTAAATGCATACTTTATATTAGTTTATAAAAAAAATCAAATTTGTGGAAATATATGTTAATATTCCTTCGGTTGTCGATTTTCAATTGTTATCTACTGATAAATAACTGAAATTGTAACGTTACTTTCATGTCCTCTGAGACGAGTGCAAGCTTTTTGTACATTGACTGAGTTAATGGGTTTCAAAATATCATTTTATGCTACCAGATGATTGCAAAGTTTCATTTACCAAATACTTTTTTTACCAAATATGGAGTATTTTCTTTGCTTCTGATCGAATTGTTATGAAAAACAAAAATTTAATGGGATCAATTTAAAAAAAAAAAAAAAAAAAAAAAAAAAACTAAATGGATTTTTTGTGAGAATTGAAATGAATTAAAATTTTGCTAAGCTGCAAAAAAAGAGAAAAAACATAAAATGCAGTTGTTCAAATTTCAATTTTTAAAAAATTTCTTGTTAGAACTGTTTGAAATAAATTAAAATTAACCCAAATTCCTCAGAAATGTTAATGCATTTGTTCAAAATTCAATTTTTAGTGTTTAATAATTCTCAACAATTCCAAGCTAAAATTGCTAGTAAAATTTATGACTTTTATACCAGTAAAAAAAAAAAAAAATGATTATAGCATACAACTAATCATAATAATTAATTAAAAATTGATATTAAAAAAAGGAGCATTTAAGTGATTATGTATAATAATATATTATTTATCCAATAATTTTTACAGAAATTATTTTGAATAAATTCTGCTAACTTCTAGATGATTCGATCGCGCTAGCAAAATTATCTTTTGATCTTACTTTCTTTCTAATTTTAAGGATTATTATTTAATGAGTAATTAGTGTTAACTTCCAATTAAACCAAAGTATGGTTGGTACACCATTACGACGTCATTTTAAGTCACTTTTTTCTAATTATTCCGTTTCACCTGGTTTGTTTGCTGCTCTAAGAATTTCCGGAATTTTTCGTCACTATGATAGTTCACATCGACAGTTTACCTGCACGTTGAAGGAAGACGAAGCATTGTATGATGCGTTGCAGTTAGAAATGAATGAATTTTACAATAGTGAAATTGAATGCAATGTTGCATTAATGGTAAATTTAAAATTTTTCCAACTTTTGATTTTTATTTTTCATATTTAAAATGAATTATTTTAAAATTTAGCAAAAACTTAATTGGCCTAAATTTTTGATAAGATTATGCTGAATATTTTCTCAAATAATACGAAAAATTGTAGAGGTAACACTAGTTTGTTATAAAGTAAAAAAGGTCTTCATATATATTTCTAGTTATGCTTTAAAATTATAAAAGTTGGCATTTATATTTTGTTTTCAAGAACGAAGGTGATAATTATATTCAGTAGATGGATAAAACTAAGTGATTGTATTAATGGGAAAAAAAAACAAAAATTTTTTGATTTATAGGTAAAACAAATGGGTATTTACGCAGCTTGCGTGGACGGTTGTTGGAAACGTGTACGTGTTGATCGAATTGATTATGAAACGAACAAATGTTGGATTGAAACAGTAGATGATGGTCAACTAGTAACACTTAATCGCTATGAATTATTTGTGTTAGATCCAAGATTACTTACCAACCAGTACAAACGAACTTTTGGTGTACATTTTGTGCTACCGTCTAAATGTGAGTTTTTTAATGTAATTAACGCAATTAATAATCAAAGACATTTAAGAGATTATTATTACTATTATTGCTATTGTTATTGTTATTACTATTGTTGTTATTTTTATTGTCATTATTATTGCAGCAAAGCAAAATTCTCTGATAGAAGCAGGTTTTATTGATGGAGAAAAATTATGTAATGGACAGTTAGTAAATATTTTTGTTTTCTCGGATCGTGAACCATTCTTATCTCTTCTCACAGAAAGTTGGTTAATTAATGAAAAGGAATAAATTGTTACTTAAATAAATGAATATAGAAATGATTATGAATATAAGTATAAATATAAATGTAACTATAGACAGAAATATAAATTGGCTTTATTTTGTATTTCTCTAGTAGGAAATTATTGTGTAGTAAAAGTATTTCAAAAATATACATCGACAATATTTAAAAAGTTAAGGTGAAAAAAATAATAATAAATCAAAATTTCAGCTTTTGTAAAAATTCAAGTAGAAAAGTTAGTTGATGATCTTGATCCAGGAAGTGCAAGACTTTGGTATGTATTTATATTATCAGTATGACAGCATTACAGCTATTAATATATTCATCAGAATTGAAAACGATCATTTGTTTATTACTAATATTTTATTTAATCATTAGATATATTTCGATGTACTCATAAATAAATTCAATTCTAGGAATAAGCTAATTATTGTTTCATTTTTTTTATGCAAAAAATTTTTTATATGTGTTTAAAATGTATTCAATCATGTATCTATATAATAGGCATTCATGTTTTCATAGAATCGGAAAAAAAAGGACAATGTCCTACAGATGAGTAGGTCAAAGGTTACATGATACATGAATGTAATAATTGTAATACTGTTAAAGATGAGAAAAATTAAATTAATGATTGGAAGTAAAAAAAAATTAATCTAATTGTATGCAATAATTAAATAATTCCTTTTTGCTTTATTAATACAAAATTTGAATAAAAACATTTTAAATGAACAAATAACATAAAATATTGAAAACTGAAACAAACAATTCTTAATGGAATGAGGAAAAGAAAAAAAAGGAAAAATTTTAAAAAATCATAGATTAATTGAAAAAATAAAAGATAATTAAGTAAATGAATAAACTCAGGGCAACAACATTAATCGGAGAATCACATCGATGCCGCGGTGTAGCATTTGGTTCATATACAATGGCCAAATTACCATGTGATGTTTGGTGTGACGTAACAGTTGTAGCATTTGAGAGTTTGGAAGATGTGCAAGTTCGAGGACCAGGCTAACTTTTACCGATAATTTGTATCACCCTCAATAAGTCTGAACATGCGGTATCACAATAGCCTAGCAATAGATTAATTATGGTACCATGCTGCTACATACTAGACTGATAATTGGTACCATGCTGTTACATGCTAGATTGATAATTGGTACCGTGCTACTACATATTAGATTGATTATTGATGTTATCATAGCCTGAACACTAGATTAATTTTTGGTACCATTTTAGACGTAATGAAACTTACTTTCACGTATGATCAAAGTTATGCGATTCAACTCAAATGTCCTCAACACTTTTTTATTCCTCTAGTTGAATAAACTTCAGCCCTAAACTATCAATGACTTTAATTTTCTCAATAAGTGATACTGCTTTATTAATTTCTCTTCTCGATATGTCTTCCTATCAAACTTTCATCCTATCTATTCATCATTCCTACATTTTGATCAAACCTTCTTAAACCAAATTTTTTAGAACAATCGATTCGTCTAATGTATCTTGAACAATTCCTCGAATCAGTGTACGGTAATGAGGAATTACGTGGTAGATTAGCGTTTGAGACAGGTGTGCATGTTAGCGAAGGTTTAGCATGCGTAGCATGGGATGCTAGCAATCGGGTAGGGAATTTTGCCTTTTATAAACAAGATTTGGGATAGGGTGATTTCACATTAAATAATGATCCGTCAACGTGATATTCTTGAGGGAGTGTAGCGTACGGCGACGTGATGTCTCCTAGAAGTGTAATAGCAGTACTCGGACAGGCGGGTTGATGATTTTAGAATAATACATTAAAGAATGATATTTTCTTATTATAGCGCTGGATACGTGCTCGCGTGACATGTGCTAGTGGTGATCGTTCGGTGGTAGATGTGACGTCCGTCGATTACCCGTCTATTACGTTGCGTAGCTTGAAATTCCGCGATTGCAAAATTTACATGCTTCGAACGGATTTATTATTTCCTCCATTGGTATGTTAACCTTATATGTGCATATTTTCTTGCATGCACCAGCTATCTTAAACCAATGTAACGTGATTGGTCTGTACTGTTTGTGATCAAACAGTTCTTGATTAAATTCTAATAATAGATAAAATCCAAATAATGCAAGTGATAACGATGATAATAAATGCATCTGATAAAGAATGATGAATCATTTGGGTCATTATCTTATCACCATTATCATTCTAGTGCTATGATTTTCTTATTCATTTTTTCAAATATTTTATCATATTATTACTGCTTTGTTATCATTATTATATTAATTATTATTATAATAAAGGAATTTATTCCGAATTACTTTCTAACCTGAAAATAATTCTAGTGTTGTTCTATTCGAGCAGTTGATACCACTGATAAGTTGGAGATGTTCAGCAAATCGACAGTGGCTAAAGAAGTTCTCCAAATTGGGACTCATGTACGTGTCTATTCTCCAGCATCATCAACTCTCTCAGTCATTGAGCTTGTAAATGGACTAAAACTTGATGAATACATCAAGCATGCCGTGGAGGTATATTTATGCTTAAATTATTTAAAGAACTTTTTTCTTTGATTATTCTCAACACTTTGTTTGAATACTCATTCAATGCTTCAAGATTCTTTCCTTCGATAATTAGCCTTCCAAACTTTATTTTTGAATTGAATTGTGCTTTTAAGGCTATCTTCGGAATTATGTTTTAAACACTTTAACGAAATTTTCCGAAGTAAATCGTTTGAGATCATGCTTGATTAATTGCAATATCTATTTTAGGTAGATTCTGTGCGTCGTTTAGGATTTGGACAAAGCTATCCTGATGTTTTAGGAAATATCGATACGGCAAGTCGTTTATTATGATTTTTGTAAACTGTTTGGAAGCTTTTTTTTCACTAAATCTTCAAAAGAGTTAGTTAACTATGAGATGTTCTTTTTTTCAGAGATTAAATCGGTTATACTTTAATTCGAATAAAGGTTCACATGCTGATATTGCTTCCTTTTCATCTAGCATGAGTTTTCCTCGCACAGTACTTGTTCCACAAGAGCGCAACTTTGAACCATTCACTCATTCGTTGTCATTAGGTCAGTGTATGCAACTCCGAGAGCTATATAATGATAAATTTAAATATAAGGTCCATATTGGTGAGCTAGTTCAGAAGGAAATAGAATAACTATACTCTGCATGCATTCTCAGCATACGAAAGATCAAGTAATTTGCAGTTGAATAAGAGACATTCTAAAAACTTTATATCGAGTAGCAAATTAATTTTTTTGATTTTTTAATTCAAAAAAGAATGAAGAGAAGAATGCATAAAATTTTTAAAAATGCATTTATAGGCTCACAACGACTAACATTACCTTTGCATTATGGTGTCAATTCTTTGCAACCATCGAAACAGCGTTTTGTTGAATCATTCAACAGTCTAACTGCAAATCGCTTAATGTCAATTCCACCTTCACCTATAATGCCAGTGCCATCATTATCTTCATCATCGTCATCTCATTCACATTTCAAAGCACCAAAATTATTTCCGCGTTCAACAGTTGGACTTCCGGGAACACCGCTCAACGAAAATTCATTCCGAATATCATTTCCATTATATAAAAAACAACGAAACTCATCAATCTCTTCATCTTCTACGGTAATTGTTGTATTCAAGGTAAAGCTGAATGAAGCACCTACAGGTTTCGAAGGGAATATTTGTAATTTGTATTTATTATTCTTCATAAATATCCAAGACTAATACATATGCCGCGTACTTCAATCTTTTAATATCCTATTACTTTTAGAATTTCGAAAATGATTACTTAAATAAATCGATCACTTCTTACGAATCAGATAGTGAAAATGAGAGTTTCGGCAAGTCGGTCAAACAAAAGCAGAAATCAGAAGTAAGTCCTTGGTCTGTCAAAATATTCATAAAATTCATCTCTTGCGATAGTTACATAACGTATGTTTTTTGTATTAACGGAGTTTTTCAACATTGATAATTTCTCTGATGATTGCAAAAATTTTGTACTATCAAATCGCTATCAAATCGTGACACTTCATTTTTCCGCTAATTTGGCTTTTGATTGTCTTAAATTTTCGGCAAAAAATTAACACTCTTATTCCAGTTCAAATCCAGTAATTTTTTAGTTTCCTTCCAATTTAATGGGATTAAGAAACTACTTATCGACGATTTAATTGTTTTTTGTTTTTGCAGGGATCATCAGTTGTTGTGGTTCGACCGTCGCCTCCGTTATATAATTCGGATTCGTATTCTGAAAATTCTGATCCATTACGTGAGGTATGTCTTTTTCTTTCTTCAATAAAGTGAAACCTTTTTTTTTTGTGAACTTTTTATTTTAATCCTTTTTTTTTATTACAGAAATCAATACAAGTGGAAGTTCTGAACATAAACTGTGCAACGGAAATTTTTTTAAGTACTGCAGAAACGAAAATGCAATACGAGGCACTCAGCAAAAGTCTTTCATCTATAAAAAAAGTTAGTTATTTTTGAAATAGTCAACTTTTATTTAGTTTCAAAGAGAGAGAGAGAGAGATAGTTTCCAATCTTTATACTCAAGGAATAATTAATACATTTTAAAAGAAGCATGAATATGTAGGTTGACTTGTTGCCAGTGTCAGGATCATGGTGTTCTCAAAATGAACATTACCTATTTTTGTTTGATGATTGTTGGACTCGGGTGAAAGTTTTGACACGTGAAGATGATGACTGGAAGGTATTGTGCGTGGATACTGGCGAGGAGAAATTTATCAAATATAATTCACAGTTTTATCGTCTGCCTAAGCGAGTTAGTGCTTTCTTAATGCTTTAATATAATAACATGAGATCTGGACATTTAAATTTTCTAATTTCCCATAACAGAATGGACTCTTTGTGTTAGAGAATGGACATTCGTAGTGTGAGATTGTTTTGTTAACAAAAATGAAGAAATAGTCTAATACACTATTTTTTCCTGTTTTATAGTGCAATCGGCGTTGTTTTTTTTTTATTTTGCATCTAACTGCTCACCATTATTTGAACTCTCTTATTTTTCTTTTTTTGTTTTTGTTTTTTGCTAGCCTTAACGATTAAAAATTTTTTTTCATTATTTGACGTTTAATGATTTTTGAAATTGCTGCCAATCCTTTTTTTTTTTTTCAGTTTACTTATTAAAAGTTTTTACAGCTATCAGTTGAGAAATGGCCTCCAACATGTTTGGGACCACTTCGTTTATCTGGTCCAATGGATGCACGATGGTTGGGAATTGGAGCACGTATTTTTCTGCGAAGCTTATGCGAAGAAGCATTACACTTTACGGCTGTATTCGGTAAAGGTGAAAGTGATCGAAGCATAATGTTGTATGATGAAAAGGGACGTTGCCTGAATGATCAGCTCATTAAATTTATCGAGAAGCAAACGTTAATCAAATAGAAATTTTATGAATTAGATTTTATGAAATCAGAAGGCTTGCTTTCTAATCTTCAACTGTCTTTATAAATTCCAACAAAGATGATTTTTGACCATAGCTCAGAACAACCAAATTAAAAGTTTTTTTTTTCTCTAATTTTGTGAAGTTTGTTCTCGAACTATATGACATGTCTGTAAAAATATTTTGTATTATATGTGTAAGTATTTTTATTTAACTTTTCACTGAAATATATTAGGTTCTATACGTGTATGTGTTTAAAACTTGGAATTAAAAATTGAGATGCATGCTTTTTTGGTAGTTCAGTGTTCTTGATAGTTCTAACATCGAATTGTCTTTGTTTATATCTGTATACGTTATGCTTGAAAATAAAATCTTATATTCTTCCGCAAGTTGAATGTGAAATTTTTTCTAGTGTAAATGAGAAAAAGTTACAAATAGTTACCTACTTAGTCGTAAAAGATTGTGAGAAAAACACAATACATTTTCTGGAAAGCTTTAAAGAAGATGAATATAATATATTGCTCTGTTGAGTTAAAGAGTAAGTAGGTGAAGTGGGAGTATGTAACATTTAATTCAGCAAAGATAACGATAATATGATCGGATGAAGTAGGAGCATTGTGTGTTATTAATCATTTATTACGATTGTAGATGCGATTACCACTGGAATTATCACAGTTATTACCGGCAGTGTTAAGTTTGCGTTTATGGACAAGAGAGAAGGCTTCGTCAAATTGGCCACTTAGGCGACCACGATCATACCGTAGGCGACTATATGATGCAGCATTGGAGCCTATGGTACCTAAGGTTCAGAATGTATGCCGTTCATACAAGGAAGTTATCGATTCGATTGAAAAACTCAAGTCTTCTGTAAGTTCGTCCCTAACTTGCACATCTATTTATTGCTTCTATTCACATTTGATAATCAAATTTGGCTTGTATTTCATGCATTTCAGTTTCCTGCTTTTTCTAAATCTGAACTATTATTCTTTCCTTTTTTTTTTTTTTTTTTTTGTGATTTAATGCTATACAACTTTTTTTAGTACTCAGCATTTGATATGGCATTGGTACAACATATTAGGGAGAAAATCAAAAATGAGGGCTATCAAGTTATGGGTATTTGTCATAGGCTCGCTGTGAAACAGCGAACAGAATGGCTGACTCGGAATCAGTAAGTTTTCGAATCTTTATTTTGACTGAAGTTTTTTGGTTTATGAACTTGGAAAAAACAGCTTTATTAGGTGATTTTGTTAGCATTTCATAGAAGTATCTGTGATACCTTTTATGTGAATTACTTACATTCCAGATTACGGTTAAAAGGCCTCGAATTCCGGGATTATGGTAATCGAATTCTAAAGAAAGTATTCGAAGACACTCCGCTTCAATCACTAAATGATACAATACTCATAGCTACAAATGCTCAACTTTTTGGCAAAGATATAAATGCGATTAAAGCGATTATAACTGAATGCGAAAAGATTGACTGGCTGACTCCAATAGGTCAGTTCCTCAAATTTCTTATTCATGGCTCTACCAATAAGTCAATTAATTTAATGTTCACAAAAATCTTCCTACATGCCTTTAAATCAGCTACTGCCTGATATATGTAGCAATATGTATGTCTTTTTATAGAAACATTCACTACTCATTTCATTTATCATTGGATTTTCACAAGCTATATCTTAGTTCTGAATGTTTAAATATTTAGTTGAATATAATTATTTTAGCTGTTGTTTACGGATCTCGAATATTATCAATATCAGAAGTGAAAGAACTGTGCAAATTACCATCACTAGAAGATCATCGTGCTCAAACAGTTCAGCTCTTATCGGTGCCACCTAACGAACTAATTTTAATACTTAATTATCATATCATGGATACGATTAGAATCTTGGATTCTATTAAGGATCAAAAGGAGTCACCATTGTAACATGAAATACAAGCTCTTATGTACAAGTTTTATGAATTCCTTAATCCAAATAAAGCGTAAACCATTTCGAAAAGTTATCTTGTTAATAAAGAACTTACAGTAAAATAACTCATAGAGTTTGTCATTTTCTGAAGTCTTATATCTTCCGAGATTTAGAACGTCATTGACATTCGAGCTGTACTGATTATTTGTTAAGCAAAGAGAAGTGAATAGCAGAAAAACAATTTTATTTTAATATTAGATAAAAGCACAAATTCGTTCATAGTAGTATGGATTCCTTCCACTCAAGAATTTTAATTCTTTTTTTGCTCGTTCTGTACGACCTAAAACTAGATTGATAAGTGTTAAAATAAAAATTTAGTTGATATGTTGCGGAATTCAGCACGAAACTTCTATTTAGCAATTTCATTAATTTCAAGATAAATGAATTAACTTTTTCATTAGAGATTGGAAGATTATGTGAATTAAGCAGAGAAATATCTCAGTTTCTCTTTTATTATATTTATCTTCTCACTCTTGGAAAATTTTCGGAAAGTCGTTCCCAGAATTAAGTTTTACCTGATTCAGAAGCAATCCAATTCTTCTCAAGATAATAATCGTACAGAGTATCCATTTCTTCGAACGTATACAATGGCGTTTCAATCGGTATGAAAGGCTCTATTTTTTCTATATCCTGTGATAATACATAAAACATTGGAACTCATATCTCTGCATAAAATTAGGAAATAGAATTTTCTCTTCATAGACTGCAAACTAACCTCTCCGAAGAGTTCCAGCGGTGTTTCCAGTGGTACTGTAAGGTGGTCGCGTGCCTCACTTACCTCCCTTTTATCGGCAACCAACAAGCATGCACCATTCCTCTTAAAAACAAAGGTCTATAGATTAGCTAAAATTTTGTTTCGAAAGAGTTTCTAAAGTAGGAGAAAATAGAACTAGGAAATGCCTTTTACACCAAATGTATGGACATACCCAATCATTTCGTAATAACTTTCGGAGGTGATGAATTAAAGTGAAATATTTCGGATCCACAAGTTTATGATTTTTATCCTTCATTGTTGTTTTACCATAAAGAGAATTCGCATGATCGATTGTCACAAGCAGTGGAAATCTGCCAGCACTACAGTGATGCGTTAGCTCTCGAAGTAAACCACCAACACAGTCTGATGACAAAGAAGGAGCAGAAAGACCCTGAAATAAAATATGCTATCATTCATTCAATTTCATTTTTCTTCCATATAAAAATAAATTGTACAACCAAATATAACTGGAGTTGAAGTCATCACAAAAGAATTAATGGGAATTTACTTAAAATGAATCTTACAATATCAACAATATTCGTGATTGGTTCTCCTTCCTTTGTTTCCTCAACTTTGGACCATTTGTAGTGTTTCTGGGCTTTACATCCCTAAAATAGCATTAAAATTAACATTTTATTTGCCATCAAAATATGCCTCTTTTCATTCCATTTTTCAGATTTTGTAAAATTTGAGCTAATCGATGACAAAAAAAAACCTTAAGTTTTTCCCAATTTCGTGTATTCATTAGCTTGAATCTTCTTAGTATTTGATGTCCAAGTAGGGGAAAATCAATACGACCTTCATGATAAGTTGATGGTTTCACTTCATCATAATCTCTCATAATTGTTATCACTGCAAATTACCATATATATATGTAATCATATAACTTTTTTTTCTTATTATTTTCAGAAGATTTTTTTCTCAGAATATCATTTCGTGGAATTCCCCACTTTCCTACTGTTTTAGAAAGCAAAAGTGTTAATTTTAATTTCTAAACGTAGTTTTATATTGTAACAAGTAAAAAGAAATTAAAATCAATAATTTAAGTTTATTATGCATATAATAAGAAACTATTACTTCTGATCATGTATGCTCAATTATATTAGAAAAAAGATTATATTAAATATTCATTTGTAATAAATTTTTACTTTCATAGAAGAATGAGAAAAAGTAGGGACATTCCCGAACATATGATTCAGATGTTTATAACATAGGCGATTTATTACCACAAATATATCAAGTAATATAGAAATAATTTGTTTATGTCGACAAGTAATCTTGTCCAGAATCAAAAACAACTATGAAAAATTCTGATCTTAAATTAGAAGAAATAAAAACTGGACAAAATAACAAAAATGAAAAAATATTATTACTAACGCTCACCATTCGGTATTGTAAATAACACCCATCCTTGCTTCCATACATGATAAATGATTTGATAAGCAGTCATCGATTTACCAGTACCCCATCGTCCCCACAGCACCACACGTAAATTCGGAATGTTCATGCCTACCAACTAAAAAGTGAGAAAAAAAATTGCTCGGATATTCCATGAATGATATTATTTTAATTTTATGATATTCCAATGATATTTGAATCTGATGTCATCGTCTATGGACACTGTGAAACATAAATTTTGGTACTGTAAAATATAAATGAATCAAGTCTTTTGAAACATAAAAATTCATTATAGTTTTTGAGCAGAATTTCCCAGAAATAATGAGAATGTAAATTAAAAATTTATTCCTGTGATATTCATTTGTTTTGGATAAGCGCATTTACATCGATAATATTTGAAATTAAAAAGGAAAACCTTTAAACATGCTGTTGCTTCAAATGTTGATTGCCTATATAGCCAAACACATTCATTCAATGTTTCTACTTGTTTTCGAAAATTTGGAGGCAACATATATCGATAATATAATGTATCAATGTCTTCATTGCTTACTTGATACAAGCGACCTAAGTCTCCAGCAGTTAAAGCAATCTGAAGTCTATATTTTTAAAAAAAATTTTAATTCATAATTAATTTCATTGCTTAGACGATTTGGTTTTGGGAAGAAGCACTAAAAAACAACTCATCATGAATTTTCTATGATATAAAAACAACTAGTAGTTTGGGAATCATTTTGTTAACATGAAAATCATCCCCTAAATTAAAACAAAATCAGTGCAATGATTCTGACAAAAGATAGCTTTCTTTTTTTCAAATAAAACGAACCGGATCATTCGTACTTGTTATTTGATAAAATCTGCTGCTTAAAGATGCGATCTGAGTCCGTTTCACTAAAAGCAAAGGAAAATACTGTAATTTAAATCACTTAAGAAAAAATCCAATGAAATCACTGCCATTTCCAGCAATAAATAAATAATTGAACTTACAAATCATGAAGCACTGACCAAAAGTAGCATTCCGGATCAAGTGTGGAAGTAAACTAGCGATCATTACGATTAAATTACAGGAAAATCAGAACTGTAAGTTAAGTAACGAACCAAAAAGCGACATTTTCGTAACTGCAAATATTGCCGGCTTGTTTAAATTAAATTTGCAGCAATAAATTGGAAGTACCAATGCCATAAGTCAGTTACGAAAGAATCAATTAATACATAAAAGCTGACAAAACAAATTAAATTGTGAGGCATGCATTTACTGCAGTTGAACGATTTAAAATCGGATTTGAATTTTGTAAATAGCAAACTTTATTGTTGCTCCAATAAAAGAAATCGGCAACAGAGAAGTGACTGTTTTAGAAAGCAAAGAAAATGAAAATATTTCTTTATTATAAATACCGCATATGCTAAAAACCAGTGTCAAAAAAAAAAAAAAAAAACTTATCAAATTAAACAACACAACATAATAGAAACTGATCAATTAATAATGATAATAACTAAATAAACGTTGCAGAAACGGTAAATCAAATCAATCGAGCGACATGGAGAAATTCATTAAGTCTACTAAAGAATGCTGTAAAAAGCATGCCGTCCAACATCCTAGCACATTTCAGCACAATAGATCATTAAATTACAAGAAGTCAATTACCACGATAAGTATAGAGGCTGTCTTCTAATTTAAATTTCAACAAATATATGTTCAGGAATTGATTAACGCATATTGGAATTGACCACTACTTTCATATTCGGCCATATCAAGCGCAACTTCGCAACTTTCTCGCACAACGCGCTGCAAATAAGATTTATTTTTCATGCTCAAAAAAGAATTTTTTTGCCTTAATTTAATAATCTATTACAATTGTAACTGCGACATAAATAAAGGTCTATAAAAAGATCACAAGCAAAATTTTCTTTCAAAATAAGGGAAAATGAATTAAAAAATGAACAGTTCGTGTATGGCTCTGGTAGGACAAAAAGCAATTAGACAATTATTAGTAGGGCCACAAAAATTGTCTGATTGGATGAGCATCACGATACAAATTTGCCGCACCATATAATTCAAGCTAGTCCATTTTCCAGTTTATATTATATGAGATGAAATCAAACTTCGGGATCGTTCCGAAACTTCTTCAGCACTTCTTCACATTCTTCGGTTGCTATTGCTCCTAAAGCTTCGGCACATTCATGCCGCACCATATAATTTTCTTCTGCATTTTCCAAGGAATGTTTTAATTCCGCAATTGCTATCGGTGATTGTGCTTGACCCAAAGCATAAGCAACTTCATGGCGGAACAGTGCACTATCACTACAAGTCAATCCTGAAATCAGACAAAACATGCATTAACTTCGACTGCATGAGAGCTCATATTTAAAACTATTAGCTTCAAGCTTAAAAAGTGCATATTAGTGTGGTGAAATACAGTTCAATAAATAGAAAAAAAAAAGAGAAAAACTTACGAATATAAAATGAAATAAATATCATTGTTAAAGAATTAAGAAAATCTCAGATGATTTTACTAATAGCATGAGAATAACTGACTCATTGCTCTGTCCCAAGCAGCGAATACTGTGTCATCAGTCTAAATAAGTTAATTTTAAAAATGAAAAATTTCGTAGATATTAAATGACACCTTTTGCAAGTGATTTTATAGATTCATTTGTGCCAATATTCCGAAGACTGAAGAGAGCTTGATATCGTTCCCATAACGATTTTGTTGCATCTGTTAAAATCAGCGAAAGCTTATCAACACTGGTTTCAGATGATGCAGGAGCTGGATCTACAATTCCGAGTTATAATGTTTGCAAAAAGTTTTTTTTTTTTCTTTTTTTTTCAATGAATAACATAAACCGGATGGTAAATGAATAAGAAAGGTTATCAATCACCGTTTTGAATCCTTTATTAATAGCTTAATTTTTTTCTACCAGTCATATAATATAGTCCTAATATAAATGAAAATTGGTACAGAATCAGTAGAAAGTAAAAAAAAAAAAATTGAAGAAAAAGTTCTATGAAAGCAAATGTTAGTCAACTCAAATTTCAAAAATCACTCATTTTATCTGCTAATACTTCAATTCATAGAAACAATATTAACAAAATGAATCAGGTATGTTCTAATATTACTTTACCTTAAATGAAGCTTTAAGAATGACTTCATACCTATTGAATTGTATGGACTTTCTTTTTCATTTTCTTTACGATCACATTTATTTTCTTGAAGCCACATTATCCTTCGCAAGGCTAACCTACACGTTTCTGCAATACTTTGAGCTTTATCGTTAATGTATTTCTCAAGGATGGCTGTAGATGAGCAAGAACCAATTGCTCCTAATGCTTCTCCTGCTTCATGGCGTACAATAATCTCTGAAATTCGTGCATTTCAGGAATTTTAAAGCTATCCAGTCAACTTTTCTGATTGTTGATTAACCTGTTTTGCAAAATTTTCTACTAACCTTCATTTTCATCCTGAAGGATGGATTCAAGGATAGGTATCGCTGCTTCATTTTGTGTCTGACCAAGACAGTAGGCCAATTCATGTTTCAGAAGAGCGGATGAATCATCGAAACATCGTCCAATCCATTCAACTGAACGATCACATCCGATATTGCGCAAAATAAAGAGAGCTCGAAACCTCGCACAAAGTGGCTGCCTGAAAGTATTTCTAGCATGCAATGAAATTTATCGCTATGTCGCCAAATTTCATATGCTTCAGGCAAAAAAAAGAAAATTTTTTGAAAAATGGAACTTGGATACCATTAAATGTGTATCATTAGTACCTTCTAACACAAAATGTATAAAACGTTGGTTTGAGTTACAGTCAAATCAGCGCGGTCTATGCAGTAATCCTATTTAACACAGTTACATCACTATGAATTTCGCTATAGCAATTATATCTTCTTCATAACATTAATCTGAATGTGACAATCAAGCCTGCAAAATAAAAAATGAATGAGTTTTTACTTGCAATCGTTTAATAATCGTCCAATTTGATCAATTTCAGAATCATATGGCATCTTCATTTAATGTGATTTAGTGTTGGATAATCCTTCGAAATATCTATGCTGAATAATCCTTCAAAATAAAAAGAGAAAAAAAATTAATTTAAATGATAATTTAAACGATAAGATCCACGAATAAACTATAACCTTTTCAAATATTATGTATATACTACATTTGGCAATGATATTACCATTAGTGATAGCGTCAGAATGATATTATCGAAAAGATAGCATTAACATGAAAATCATTTGTACAGTGTTTATCAATTTAATGACGCCATCTCTTGAAGCATTATTTTAGCATGAAAATAGTTATAGTTTCAATAATAAAATCATTTATGTGGAATATTAAAAATAATTCAAGTATGCTCAATTACTATTTGAATGCATTATCATATGATAATAACTCAACCGATTGAAAAGAAAAATGAAATTGACAAAGCTGACAAAGCTTTGGTTAGCTTATCTTACAACTAACCAAACTTTTAGTTTAACTTATGTTACAATTAACATAAGTAACTCTCCTACGTCACTAACTAAGCATTTAACCTGTTACTTCATAATATTTCATGTGCTTAACTGTCCAGATATGTCACGTAATATATTTTATACGGCTAACCGTGAAATACGCGTATAGCTTTAGTGATTGCATAATGTTTAGTTGTCATCTGGAATGAGTTGAAGTTATGAAATGCTATGATTCAACGATGTTTTCTGTGAAGCGATAATATTTAACGAACGTTCAGGAAAGAATTATTATTCACTATACTATGCCAGTGTTAGTCACAATTATTCAAAAAATTCTACTTGTAAAACTTTTTTCTTTTAAACTGATACATTATAATGCATGTTTTAATATATTATATATTATACATATTTTACTATGAAGAATAGAAATTTGCATAAAATTTTTTTCGAAATGCAACACTGCAAATGTAACATACAAAAAACAAAAGCAAAAAAAGAGGTCACTTAGTAGCCTGGGATATTATTATTTTAGTTTGTAAATCCGCTGAGAGAAAAAGAAAGAAAAAGTATACATTAAAATACTTTTCTTTTGACCCATTTTTCCTGTTTACTAAATAATATTTATATAATATTTGAATTGGTGATTATCCTTCAAAGTTTTTACTTTCCTAAGCTTTTTTGTTTTGTTTTGCTTTTTTTTTTAATTGTTAAACTTATGCACATTTGCAGTTAATTTACTGCGATGAATAAGAATTGCATAAAATTCTTCGAAATGTAATATTACAAAACTTCATCGTACTTTTAAATACATAACATTTTGTCAATTGTTATGCTGGATAAAATCTAAAACTTTGTCATTATATATTTTTTTCGTAGGACACAGTGATCCATCCGACCAAGAAATATCGTCCGAAAAGAGAACTGTCATGAAAATACGACAAAGTCAGGACATATTGGATGATGATGTTAGAGAGTGAGGAAATCGAATGACCTCATGACGTAGTTTTTTCTGTCTCTATCGTTTTCAAATGCTACAGTGATCATTCATTGGCTAGCCGTATTTTTTATTACATTGCTTTTGCTTTCGATTTTATATTTGGTAAGATAGGATACTGCATGTTTTTCAAATTTACAGTTTCCCTTTTTTCTTTCGATTTGTTGTATATCTATCAGTTTTGTGCATTTTATAATTTCTCTTTATTCACTTTTTTATTAGGATGTTTTCTTCAAAATTATAACACCAAGTTAATCGTCATTTCGTGGAATACTTCTCTCTCTCTCTCTCTTTCCCCTCTCTATATCTCCTTGTCCTTTTCTCATCTTCAATATTTTTAAAGAAAACTGCAATGATCATTGTTGTTAATATTTTCATTTTTTCTTTGCATCACCATTTTAATTTCTGTTATCAACAGGAGCGGTTCTACGATTTATCGTTTGCATCACTAATTTAACGAAATGCAGCAATTTCCGGTGTTGGACATTTCAGAGATGACCTCATCATCAGTGGTGATAGCTTCATCATTATCAATACCAGCTACTCCGCCTACATCATCAATTGATCCATTAATAATTCGTAATATCATTGATGAAGCATTTCGCGTAAAGACGGATAAGCAGGGTCGCGTCACCCCTTCGACAAAGCAAATTGGCTATGATTTATTTGTAAGCAGGTGATTAATTCCTTTTGCTGAATTATTCATAACGTTTCAATAATTGTCTCCGAGGTTCTCAGTCTTCTTCCCTTCTTAAAGAATAAGGAATCTTTTTTTGAAAAAAGATTTATTTTCTTATCTTTTTAAGAAATAATAAATCTTTTTAAAAAGATTTTTAAATCTACCAATTCAGTCATTGAACAAATGAATGAATCGTTGAGCTTAAATATTAGCACTGTTAATTTAATTTATAAAATTGTTTAGATGCCTGAAATCAGTATAAGTAGGAAAGAGATCTCTGAACTCTCTCTCTCTCTCTCAATCAGTATATCACTGTATCTCTCTGAACAATAATGTAGTTCTTTATATTTTAAGAAAAGTACTTTAAGCCGCATTTTTTACAATATTAATTTCCTTGTGATCTAATATTCAAAATGTCTTCAAATATGGAATTCAAATTTGATTTAGATTCTTTTTTCCTTTGTTTTCTTTGTGTTTTAGGATAGTGGCAAGTGGAAAATATTGATCCATTCTTATTCCTTAATTAATTTCTAAATTTTGTAGATTTGAACCACAACTTCTGATTGATGCTTTTGCGGCAGTAATTGAACAATTTCCCATTGTTGCAGCTGAATGCCCAAAATATAATAGCTGGTGGACACCAAGATTTTACCATTTGATTTTTCTCATTGCGCAGGTCAGGAAATAGTACTTCCTCGTAATCTTATAGTTATACATTTTATTCGAAAATTTTTACACGCCTATTTTTGATTTATTTCACTTTCAAAATATTTATTTTGTTTCTATCGTAGATCGTTTTCCTCTACTGATAATTTGCAGGCTTTTATGAGCGTTTTAGCTTCGGAACGTGCTTCAAATAAGACGAAAGAAAAAGACGTAAGTATAATACTTTGTGTGCAATAATTTTTTGAGATCTAAAACTTGATTTCACTTTCACAATAATCGTTTTTGCATGAAAAGTTCAGTTTCTCGTTTCCTTGATTCCTTAACGATATCAATTTTTAGTGCAGTAGTTGTTGTTGTTAATAATTTACAATTTTATCTTACCGGTTTTCCTATTATTAATCTTATTATTAAAAAGAAAAAAATTTTTTTCTGTTTCAGCGTAAGCAAGATTCGTTTTCAAATATCTGCATAAGTGTCACTGATGAGCAGCGATGCAGAATTTTGAGGGATGTGGTGTCACTCAATTTCAGTTTTGATTCCAATTTTTGGAGCTTAGCAGATTATGTGTTAAATTTCAACAAATGTCCAAAGGATGTAGTGACAATTATTTCTGATGCTGCATCGGCCGGAAAAGCAAGGTTTTTGTTAATTCTCTTTTCTTGATTCCCTTTTATTTCACTATATTTCAAATATATACTAAGCTGTTGGAGATATTAACAATCTTGATCATTAGGTAGTAGTCATTTCGATCTCACAAAGAGTTGTTTTTGCTTAATTAATTTAAAGTTTTGTTCAACCTTTCATTATAATCTGAGAATATTCTTTCCATTATTTTATAATCCAAAACACTTCATTTCAAAATTTTTTACAAGGACATGACTTACTAACAGCTGTAAATATTTTCTTATAGTTAAATATGTTGTTGATTTCCAACACTGATTTCCAGTTTTGCTGCTGTTGATTACTGCATTCGTAACAAAGTGCTCTCGCGTTATTTGGATGACCCAGCAATTTTGTACTCTGCTGCTCTTTTGGGTCCTTTACGCGCTGGTACTGTTGAATCATTTGCTGCAAAGCGAGCTGAAGAATTTCGACAGAAATGTCGTGAGGTTCTGTTGCGGGTGGAGAAATTAGTTAGTTCGCCGAACGAGTGGGAACATGCAATTGGTAATTTCTAATATTCATCTAATATTTTCTCAAATACTATACCTGTAATAATATAATGTAATTATTTAATAAAATTTTAGTTGATTATTTGGGGTCGGTAAAGCAAAACGATTCAAACGGCAAAGTTGTAGCATATACATACGTTGGATTTCGTGATTCTTTTTCAACCTTGATGAGAGATTTAAGGGGATTACCACCGTCAGACGATCGAATTAATATTAAATGGGCTCATCATTTGGTGAAAAAATGTGCCGCGAAGTATTACTGTGAAAAAACATGGAAGGTATACACTTTTTAACTTTAAAAATAAAAATTTTCAGGACAGTAAGGTCTAGTAGAAATATAGCTAAGTATAGTTAATCCTAACAAATATTATAGTTGAAATATTTGTGTAGTTCTAGCTGAGCTGAAAACATTTTATAGCTTATTAGTAACGTAATTTTTTTTTTAGATTGAGAATTTGCATGAAGTAATTTGGACAATACTTGCACAGAGGCCATCTATGCGAAAATTTGTCGTTCAGACACTCACCAAAGACTTTAAAGATCCTCAGGGTGCTGAAATGTGGCGAGTTTGCAAAATACCGGCAGATGCAAGAAAACATATGGCACATAAAAGGTTGATAAATTCTTGTAATACTTTTATCTGTCCGAGTGAGGCGTTCCTATAGTTAAGCTATTTCTTTGATATATTAAATATATTTAAGATATATTAAGTAAGATCGAGACTCACTGAAGTAGTAAGTAGTATTTGTTCTACCACTAACATTCTCATCGGTATGATATTGTTCATTGATATAAAACTCTTATGTAGAAATTATTTATGAAAAATGTAATAAATATGATGGTAAACTGCTACTCAGGTCTGATTCCAAATACTTAGGACTATTTTACAGTAAAGAGGAACACTTGGATCCGCGTACGCCAAATCCACCATATTTGAGCATACCAGAATCAGTAAAACCAATCGAATTTGTACGACATCCATCGCATTTGAAGCGAGTTGCTAATCTGCTGGAAGATTATGCAAATGATAATTATCCACCAGTTGGCGTAGATGCAGAGTGGTCTTCCTATGTTTCTTATAGCAAGTTAGTCTTAGTTTTTTATCATAGTTATGTTTTGAATCTATAAATGAATGAAAAAAAAAAAAAAAATTTTGACAATAAGATGGAGGATTATATAAATTTCTTATTCGTGTCATCTGTTCTTATTTGTCATTTGTTCTTTCTTATTCTTGTGTATTGAGTTGAATTTCATATTTATATCATTTTTAAATCAATTTTCTTAGCAAAATTTAAATAACGTTATGAAAGACAATAAATAATGACAGGCATAATCACAATCAATTTGATTAAATAAGTGAGGTCTGTTGTGATGTTTTTAGAGCAACTATTCTACAGCTGGCTATTCCATGTCATATATTTATAATAGACGTTGATGAAATCAAGGCTGATATACTCGTAAATTTTTTTGAGAAATTATTCGTTGAATGGAAGCTTTTAAAAATAGGTTTGTTTAGCGATATTAATTTTCTCAATTCTATATTGTCGACTATTAATGGCTTAATGATTGCTAAAATTCTAGCAGGAAGGAAACACCTATAAACATCTTCACCAGAGGACATTTATTAACATAAATTGAAAAAAAAAAATCGAAAAAAAAAATCATTACTACAAAATGTATTATTTGAATAGTCTAAAATAGTTCTGTTGATAAAGTGAGATGTGACAAAACTCTCAAATATAATGTTAGTGAAGCAAGCATGCTAAATATTTCGTAAGTTTTATATTTTAATATATCTTTAAGGTTATCAGTTTGATGAAGATCTTATTCAATTGCGAAGTGCAGTACAACATTGTTCAGCTTTATATCATCCAAAAAATTTGATATGTATTGGCAAAATTGTTAAATCGGTTAGTACAAAATTTTAATTCTGTTCATTATTTGTTTCTTGAGAAATAATAATAATAGTGTTTGTAGAATTTGTTACTTTTTTTTTCTATTTTTTTTAATCTAAAAAGTAATAATTTTTTACTTGATTTCTGGAATTTTATTGCAGTTGATGAAAGAGAGTGCTGAAAGGCCCGATGTAAATCTAAATGGAGTTTTTCATCCGGGAAAAGTACAGAGAAGTGAGGAATGTACAGAAGGAGTAAGAACTGATATTGTATCTACTGAAATGGATGGTAGCGCATGGAGTCACGTAGCAGATTGTAAAGAGGATGTGAAAACAAGGCTGAATTATGTTTCAATTGATATACCCCAAGTAATGAATAAATCCCATAATGTAATATCAACAGTAAAATTTAAGGAAGTGAAGCTACTTACAGTAAATTTTTTTTTCCTCGTGTCTGTCTTTCGCCCTCTGTCTCTGAATTTGTCTTAAAACTATATTTATTAACTTGCTATTCACTTTAAATTCAAAAATAAAGTCTTTTTGGAAGCGGTTATATATGCAGCTTTTGGAGAAGTAAGAAAGAATACCAAATTCTGGGTATTTCTTGAATTTCAATTGCATTTAAGTTGATATGAATTTCAGTAACACACTAAAATTTAAAATAATATGGATGATTATCTTGCAGTTATTTCATGATGAGATTCAAAGTATTTCATTTCAATTGATATGACATTTTTTATTATTTACTTTTATTATTTAGCTTGATAGTTTCAGTCTAATGCTTTTCTGCTAACCATTTTATCGCAGTACTAATTCTTTAAGAAAATAAAGGTTGATCTTATAATTTAGTTTAGTGAGTTTATCCTTTTCATTATCATAACATTTTCTTCTCTTTGAGATTGAAATAGATTTTTTTTTTTTTTTTTTTTTTCATATCATATAAACATTATATTTTTGTTTTTCTAGTCGAAACCAAAGGAAGACGAACAAGACATGAAAGATGTTGAAGAAAATCCATTATTAAAGGAAATCAGAGGTTTATCAGCATTATGTGAACGGGTGTTAGGTAAACCACTAGACAAAACAGAGCAGTGTTCTGTTTGGGATCGACGTCCACTTCGAGACTTGCAGGTATTTCATCGTTTTCTTTGAAAATGACACCTAAAATTGCATGATACTTGTATTAAGTGATTTTTTGGCAAGAGAGAAATCAAATAAATATATTTTCTCGATTACTTTTCATTCTAAAACATTTTTAATATTCCCCTAAGATGATTTGGAAAAAAACTCAGAATATTTAAAGAATTTTTTTGTTTTCCTGCTCAGTCTTTCATCAGTTACCAGCTATTGCTGTACTCTAAAATTCCTAAGAAGTTTCAAGATTAAAGCTAAGTTTCCGATGAGTTACTCTTAACCATTTCAATCGAATGATGGTAATTACTACTTATACTTTTTTTTTTTTTTCAGTTGCGATATGCAGCATTAGATGCGTACTGTATGTTAATGTTATATGAGAAATGCGTTGATTGGGCTTCTCGACTTGATCTCAGTATAAGGGAAATTTGCTCAAAGCAAGAACCTTTGACTGGAACTCTACCACTTTTTTGTGATAAACAGTAATTTCTTTGTTACTTAACGATTTGGTAATTTTTTCAGTCATTCTTTTTTTCTTTTGTAATGGATTTTTTTTTATCAAGTCTTATTTTTGTCAGCTCTTATCTGACTCCAATATTTTCCAGTACTGGACAAACTATTTTAATTGTAGCATCATGTAACAATTATTATTCTTCTGATTTTGAAAATCTTTACTCTTTAAATCTTTTCTTAAAAGATAGATGATATGATGAGGGTAGCCTTTTAATCATTTGTAATCATGAATTTCTTTCACATTAATAGTAATGCTCTGATCACTTCCAGGAATTATTATTTTTTAATTTATATTTATGGTTGTATATTGTTTACATATGTATATATAATTATTTATTTCTGCCTCTTTACTACTGTCTGTTTCATTTTAGATTCTTAAATTTTCAAAATGAAATTTAATCTTATAATTAAGCCTGCATTGAAATTGAATTCATTGTTTCCTATCCTGTTTCCTTTGCATATTACTAATATATATACATATAGATTTTTTTTTGCAAAACATTTAAATAACTTTTCTCGTTAAATTCTTCATTAACTTGAGATAAGTTGCACATTACTTTCAGTAATTTTTGTACCTCATTATATTTATTTCTTCCATCTTATTTCTCACTTTTAGCGGGTACATGACATTTTGTAAATATTTCTGTCATTGCGCCTGTAAAATTCTTGTATGTTCAAATGTTAACTTCAAAAAATTTAACCATTTAATATTATCTTAAACTCGTAATCATGAAAAGGATTAAAACTGATTGCATTTTTATTGGATTTGTTATTTCCCTTCATATTTTTATCAGTCATTTTGCATTTATTTGTTTAAAGCGAATAGTATAATTGTTTGTTTGGGTTTTTCCTTTTGTTTTAATAAAAGTCTCTTTCAATTTGTTCCAATGATGCATAATATGTTGTTATTTGACAATCGTTCCTTTAATTTCATTTTGAAACCGAAAAGATCGATCACATGATTTTGAAATCATTTCTTTGATAAAGCTTTTAAAAGTAAACTTACCTACTCATTAATTTGTTTCAGTCATTTTTTCTTATTAAATTCTAACAACTTATAAATCTTTACTTTTACAATGTCGCCGAGTCAAAATTTGCTCGATTTGATTTATTTGGAACAAAACAGTAACTTATTCTTAAAATAGTAATGTTATTTGCACAAAACTAACTTTTCTTTTTTTCAACAAATAATGGTCTCATATGCAAAATATGGACAAAAATATGTGAAAATGTTTGTCGGCAATAAAAGATTAAACAATCGTTACAAGTACCAACTGCTAATAGATTTGTAGCCAACGTTTCCAGAATGATTTATAAATTTCCTTGTTAACAGTTTCGACTTGTTCAACTTTTATGCTCACGTATGCTCTTTCATCTTCGCGGTTTTGAGGGTTTTTATTTTGCAAATTCTAACTGAAATTTAAAATCACAAAACTAGGTTTGTATTTTAGGCGATAGAGTAGAAGAAATTATTACACTAAAACCACTGGATTAGAATTTGCACGATAAAAATCGTCAAATATTGAAATTGTTTTAAGCTAGTATAAGATCAATGGAAATGATATCAAAGATATTTATGGATTAGATGCTTTTTGAATTCGAATAAATATGAGATATTTCATTATTCAAATTGAGAAAGTATCTCTTTTACATATCAACATGCATTATTTCCGAGACAATCATATCTGTGAAATCAGAAAGTGATTTACAATCTTTTTAATTACTAATACAGTTTTTTTAGAACACTAAGTTTTTGAAATTGTTTTAAACTTATATGAATTTGTCTTCAATTTATGATATTCTTGATTTTATCAAGTAGCATATAATGTTACATTCATTAGATAAAAATTAATGCATGAAGAGAATTTGCAATTAAACTTTTTAACTTCTCATACAATTAAACTCCTAAACTTTTCATACTTTTATTATGATTAATATTATATTGTTACTAATAATGTACAAATTGTAAATTTCTAGACTTAGCATAATTTTGTTTAACTAAAAATTTTAGTTTTTTGATTTATTGATAATTCTCTGATCAATCGACTTATACGGTGTTACCGTATAACTCGATTTATAATTTTCTACATATTGAATAGGAGTAGATTTTTTTGTCACAAATGATGAATGCAAAATAGGAAATGGATTAAATGTAATTTGTTTTGGTAATAAAATTGATTTAAATTCAGAAGTAGAAGTATGATTTGTTATAGATTCTAACATTTTGCGATAATAAGGACTAAATTTTGAATTTTTATTATTAACGGTTGTATTGTTGTACGCTAGGTCATTTAAATGTTGATTTAGTATGGGTTGAAAAGCTGGTGGTTTTGGATGTGAAAATCTTGTTGTTGTTGTTTTATTTCGTGCTGGACAGATGCAATACTGACCATCAATACCAGGAATTCCTGGTGATCCTGGCTAAAAAAAAGAAAAGATGAAAAATTGAAGGAAAAAATTCCCATTGCATTTGAATAATTCATTTGTCTAAAATTATTCCTCTAATAATTCTAAATTCTTCTAAAAAACTGTTCTTCTCATAGTTTTTTTTTTATTTATAGTAAAAGTAAAAAATTGTAAATTTTTATCGTTTTGAAGGTTTCCTCATATATTAGTTAAAATTTCTTTTAAAGATTCACGTTTTATTTTCAAATCAACTAATGAATTTTAAGTCTGTCAAATTATAAACTAGCCATTCCATCAAGTCCTGGTGTTCCACTTAAGCCAGGTTCACCATCATCTCCTATAAGACCAATCGGTCCAATTTCGCCAGGTAGTCCTGGTTCACCAGGAATTCCAGGCTCTCCTATGTGGCCTTGTGGTCCCGATGGTCCTTTCGGTCCTGAAGCACCAATCAAGTACCTGGTACCTGGTGTACCAGGTATACCGGGCATACCCGGTTCTCCTTCTTCTCCCGGTAAACCTGAATATAAGAATTTGCTTTTTCAAAAGAACTTAAGTTTACAATTTTGAAAATAAAAGTGTTGAAAAAAAAATAATATGAAAGACGATGATTCATTCATAAAATTTTTTTGCTCTTTTCATTTTCACAAACTGCCGATATTTCATTTTGAAATTATTAGAAATCAAGGTTGAATTTTTAAAATATGCGATTTCAAACTAAAACTATTCCATTAATTAGTTCATTCCTCACCTGGAGGCCCTGGATCACCAGTTGGTCCTGGTGGACCAAGAATATTTAGTGCTGCAGGTAAACCAGGCTTACCAGGTATACCATCTTCACCGCGGGCCCCATCGGGTCCTTTCTGACCTGGTGGACCTGGCGGACATTTAATACAATCTGATGTCACATATCCAATCATTATTCCTGGCAAGCCAGGATGACCATTGACACCAGGAATTCCTGCTTCTAAAAAATCTCACTTTTTAATTCTCATTAAAAAAAAATTGTCAGAAAAGTTTTTTGCTTCTCTTCTATCCAATTAATATCGCAAATTTTTATTCAAAATACTACCTCCACTTGCTCCTCTCTTTCCTGGAAGTCCCGGTGGACCCCTTGGACATGCATAAATTACCGAGCATTCTAGAAGGAAGAATTTTTTAAACTTAATTATATATTAAAAGTAGAATAATTATCGCATTACTATGAAATGCTATAAAATTTATTTTAGTAGTAATATTAAGTTGTTCAAAAATAGTTAATTGGTTACAAGTAATTAATTAATTAGCAGATAATTACTGCTAGTATCATTTTACACTGTCATTCTTTTTTCGTTTTTTGCAACAAGATGGAAATAGAGGACAATTTGAAATTAGAAACTTTTTCTTATTTTTAAAGCACTAGAAAAATAAGAATAATTTTGTGAACTGATCATTAACTTACTAAGAATTGATGAACTAAGATAATTTTCTTCTAATTCTTCATTATTACTATAAATGGTTGGAATAATTTGTGAGGAAATTTCTTCCAATGTTTCCATATAGTTTGAATTTTCAAAATTAATTTCTTGCAGTTTTCGTGAAATTTGTCGTCGTCTTCGATTAAATTTGAATGATTTCATTGATATTTCTCTAATAATTTGCATCGATGAAAATTGTGAAAGCTTATTCCAAACATTTTTTTCAATTATCTAAAAAATTTTTTCATATGTTTAAATGCTAACTGCTTTTTTTCTCAATATTTCATAAATTAAAATTTTTATTTCTAATATAGGAGAGAACAAATGTATTAATTAATTTTTAAAAAATATTAGAAACTAATTAAGCAAAAGAAAAGACTTTATTATCTAATTTTTAACCTAATCAATATATACGAAAAACAAATGCATTAATTAATTTAAAAAATATTAAATAGCAATTTAAAAAAGGCTTTATTATCTAGTTTTACTACTATGTCAATACCAAATGAAATGAATGAAAACGCAAACTTGAAATTCTTTAAGATCATGAAGAGAATTTTCATAAAACTTGCTGATATTACTGATAATTGTATTGCAAAATAAAATTATGATGCAGATTAACAGCATATGAATTACTGTGATAACATTAATCCAAAAATTTATCTTCATCGTTCTCTTCCTTTTAATTTCAAGCAATTAATTATCTAAAATGACTGATGTGAAAGAACAAAAATTTTTTTAATCATTAAAATATAACAAGTTAAAAAAAAAAAAAAAAAAAGCGAAAAAATTAAAGTGGTCAAATCAATTTGTCTAACAAAATTAGTGTTTTAATAAAATAGAAAATTAACGAAATATGCAGTAACCGATTGAATTAAATCAACTAGATTTAGCATAGTTCAAAATAACAAATCTGATTAATCTATTAGTACAAGTAGTTGAATGCTATGTGACTGTGCTTATTAATAAACCTTTTATATATAAAATTATTTTAAACTACAAAAAATTTTTTATTAGCGATAATCAATTTTAGAAAGAATTAAATTCTTTTATTTTTGATAAAATTTATTTAAAGTTACGAAAAAGTATGAATGATTTCATTTCATTGGTAATTATACTGATGATAGCAAGCAATGAATTTCATATGTGATTATAAATTTAACATCAGGTGGTGAATAATAAAATCTGCATAAATAACTCAACAATAACAATTTAATTTTTCATTTCACTTCGTCATTCATTCTTTTCTTTTTTTATTCATAAGATTTTCATTTATTAGATATTTGAAGAATTTCATATTATTCAATTTAAATTACGACTTTTATAATTGTGTTACTTAAAATTTGAGTTTGAATATGAAGCAATCTACAAATGATACGAAGTAAAATGAAGTGTCAACTATTAAGCTAATTATGCATTTTCTACTTTTTTTTACTCATGTCTTAAAAAAGAAAAATGTGAAATTTACTAATTTGTATATTTTTTCTGACTTATTCTTTCATATAATTAGAGCTTGGATTTAAAACTTGTCTTTTGCAAAGATTAATAAATGTAACTTCCTTTTTCTTCCATTTAATAAATTCTATAATTTGGCTGGTATTAGTGTATGTTAACAATAAATATTTGAGCTAAGTGAGGTTTGCTAATTGCTAAATTGCATTAAGGTTGATCAGAAGAGAAAAATTTTAAAGTAAAGAAGCTTTTGAATGCATTATGAAAAAATGAAAATAATGAATACAATGACAAGAAAACATTTAGTGATACGCTAAATATGAATGAAAGTCTGAGCGTAGAACTTTTAAACAGTTGAAAAAATATTTTATTGCAGCAGGTTTGTTCACAATTTAATAGTCATTCCAGCGATAATTTATCTTCCTGTTATCATTTAAATTGTGACAGTAACTTTCAATTTCATTTTTAACATTTCACTAAATAGTTGTAATGTTATAATTGATAATCATAAATCTCAACTCATAATATTTCTCCTAAAGGATACATCACAGAAGTAATACATTTTAATTTAATTTTTCCGCTTTTCTTTTCATACTCCCAACAACAACAATGGTCAGGAAGTGTTAACATAGATTTAGTTAAAATCAAAAATGAAAATTTAATCGAAATTCAAATTTATACTTTCTAAGTATGACTTGAACAACTATCTATACATTTCGTTTTGTTTCTACGAACACGAAGCCAGACTGTTGGATTAATTTGAATGATAATATATGGCTATGTGGCCTTGATTTATTTATTTGCCTGAATCAGTAAAGTAAGGCCTGACTAATCTTCTAACTTAATAAATATGTCCCATTTTTGACCGCAGCTCTTCAGTTTTTATAATTTCACTCAAATATACAAACAAGAAATATTATAACCTTTAGAAATCGAATCATACTGGCAAAAACCACCTATATAGTACTTACGAGATTGCTATTATCATATCGATTAAGTAGCAGCTGTGATATCGATTGAAATTATGAAATTGATATGAGTTATTAAGACAAGTAATGGATTCCATTCAAGCAAAATTAGTAATTCATTCGCTTTCTGACCTTCTAACTTACTGACCGCAGCTCCTCACCTTTGACCTTTAGATACGATATTTTGCTATTAACCAACGAAATAGACATTTGAACGATGATATATTAATGAAAAAATTGAACTATTAATATGTGTAAATAAATTTGAAATTTACCAATACTTCTTATTTTAAATGTAGTTTCATAATTACTATTTAATATTAAATGGTTATTCTTTTATTATTTTATCATTTCGCATTTCTTCTCCAAGTAAATTTCCAAAATTTAAATAAATAAAACAAGAAGAAAAAAGAAGGAAAGAAAATAGAACAAGAAGTGCAACGAGAAAGGCCCACAAAAAAAAAAAAAAAAGAAAAAAAAAACGGAAAAATTAAATTAAAATGTATTACTTCTGTGATGTATCCTTTAGGAGAAATATTATGAGTGAGATTTATGATTATCAGTATAACATTACAACTATTTATGAAATATTAAAAGATGAAATTGATTCAAATGATAGCAGAATGATAGATTATCGCTGGAATAACTATTAAATTATGAATTAAAATATTTCTTCAAGTGCTTAAAAGTTCTACGCTCAGACTTTCATTTATGCTATCACTGTATTTATCATTTTCATTTACTGTAATTATAATGAATTAAACTTCAAATTTTTTTTTTTTGCTTCTGATTAAGACTAACACAATTTGGCAATTGCCAATTCCACTTTGTTCAAATAACACTCAATGACATTAGCAACACTTGAATCACAGAAGCTATTTAATTTTCCTAATTAAAGACACTTTAATTAAGGAATCATGTGGAAGAATAATTGAATGGTTGCTTCAACACAACGAATGATTTGTTTATTTTAAAAGAAGTCAAACGACAACAGAAAGATAAATTATCAAGTAATAAGAACACCAATTGGAAATTATTGAGTTTTAAAATGCCTCTATTACTTTTAAAACAACCCCAATATTTATAATTCCAAATTATTATCTCAAGAATTTGAGCCAAAAATAGAAATTAAATGAAATTAAATAACGTTCAACTTAGTAGTGTATAATTAGAAACCTTAAATGAATTGGTGTTACAAAATAATGAGTAAAAGTTATAATTTTGTTTACTGTAATTTAAAATAATAGATAGCTAAATAGCACCATATTTCGCTCTAAAATAATCAAAGAATATTAAACTTAAAATAAACAATCAAATATCATTCTTCAACCATTGCTTATAATTTATCCATGAAATAATCACCAGCTATAGATAACACTGTTTATTAATACTTCCGCCTATAACCTTTGCCCTCTTTCTCAGTATTTGATCATCTTTTCTAATAATTGTCAATAATAATTACATATGAAACGGAATGAATGACATCAAATATATCTCTTCGGAGGAATTTATTGATCATCAGAAGATCATTCATCAGAAATATTCGAGTTTTTTTTTTTTTCTTTTGTTTTTTAATTCCTTTCCTCTTAATTTTAATTCAACATTTATTTTCTGTCATTTATGTTTTTCGGCGGCGAGATTATTTAACATTCAATAATTAGATTAATGAATTTTTAATCGTTTTCATTAATAACACTGCAAACATGCAAATGAATAACATACATTTCCGAATGACATAGTTTTCTAAAAAATCAAAACAAATAGTGATGAAGCAAAGTGTTTATTTTGTTCGTTTTTTTCTATGATACCAAAAAGATATCATAGAAAGAAGTATTAAAATTGATCAAGCAACAAATATTAAAATTGATCAAGCAACAAAAATAGAAATGACTTGCCAAAAATAGGAACGGAAAATAAACAAACATATTGGACTGATCCAAATTCATAACAATAGATGCATATATTATTAAGCAAAGTGTTTATTTTGTTCTTTTTTTTCTATGATACCAAAAAGGTAGTAAATCCTTTTTTAATATCATTATTATTTGATTTATGGCCATTAGCTTGATATTTCCACTTTTAATTATTAAATTAATTTGATGAAGTAATTTTGCGGAAAAGTTTTTACTATTTATGCCAAATTTGAAAAGTCTTAATATCTCACTTTGTAAATTTACCATCATTTTCAGCGACCAATGCTAACAACTGCAGAATCATTCTATAAAATGATTGTGCAAGAAAAAGCGCAATGTGTCGTGATGCTATGCGCATTCACTGAAACCACTGAAAAAAATTGTCCACCGTACTTTCCACAATCATTCGGAGAGAAACCAATGAAATTTGGATCTATTACTATTAAATGCATTATTGTACATTAATTAAAAGAATTTAGTCATAATTAGTAGTCAAATGGATTATTGAATTTTAATATACAAATTAAATAAAAGCATTTATAGGTGTAAAATTATCTGTTTTATTAATTTTTTTCTCTTTCTACGTCAATTATTCGGTGTTAATTTAATTTAAATAAAAGCAAAATTTAAAAATTTCAATCACGTACGCTATTTTTTAGACGGAGAAAATGAAAGAGGAAGCAGATATAACAATTACGACATTGGCAATCACTGAAGTTGGTAAAGCGCAACTTATAGTTAAACATTATCATTGGAAAAATTGGCCTGAAAGAGGCTTTTCGGATCCGTCACTTACGGTTTTCAATTTGATATGCGCAATTCGAAATTTCAAAAAACCAATCGTTGTGCACTGTTCTGATGGTATCTTTTTATGATTTTTCTCTTAAAATTATTTCAAAAAAAAAAATGAAAATAAGCAGACTTTTGAAACAAATATTATATTGATGAAATGTATTTCTGAGAATTATTAAATTAATGCAATTAAAATTAAGAAACACAGAAAAGTACTTTTTGTTGCAATAAATCAATCACAGTTTATACAAATTAAATGATAACGTTTACTTTATAGAAAGTAAATACTAATTAAATAGGTATTGGCCGAAGTTGTATTTTTGTGGCCATTGAATACACACTGCAGAGAGTGCTGCAAGGTAGAAGCTGCGTTGATCTGATAGAAGTGGTGAAGGAAATTCGAAATCAACGTGCTATGGCTATAAGCACTCCTACGGTTTAATATAATTTTTAATGCTAGCATAATAATTTCTAATTAAATTAAAAATTTAATTTTCAAAGTTTCACATATGTGCAGTGAATGATTTGTGAAAAGAGAATAAATTCATTTGTTGATTCCTTTTTTGCCTAAAAGATTTTGATTGAAAATAACCAATCAAAATATTTTATTAGCAACAATATAGTAAATTTTACTAAGCTAATTTTTTGATGAATATTTAGTGAAAAGCTTTTTAATAATATGATAGAATACAACATACTTTTTGATATTGGAATTCAAGAGAAATTTTTGGAAATGATTAATAAATTATTTCAAAATGATTTAGAAAATAATTGAAATGATTTAGACAAGAATTGGAAATGAATTGTTTAATAATTGATAAATAATGATGTAATAATTTAAAATCACTTATATAGCAATTGAAATAATTTATAATTAGAAATAATTTGAAAGTAACATAACAATACGAAATTTATATAACAATTGAAATTGCTTGGACAGTAATTGGAAATAATTTATCAGATGAATGAAAATTACAGCAATACATTGTGCTTAATCGTTTGTTACTTCAATTCTTTCATGAACTCAATATCGTTGACATGTCACAACGTTTACTCGAATTTATTGATGATTACGATGCATATGCAAGAAGACATAAAGTAAAAATTGCAGTTAAAACTTTTCATTTTATTATTTTTGAAATATGGCAATGATTCTTTTCTCCTAAAAATTGGAAATTTATTGCTCGAATTTTTTAAATTAATATCAATTGCAATAGTAAATAATAATTATTTTACATTTCAATTATTTAGCTGTGTTCTATATGAACACCAATTTGTTTGAAAATGTTACACACGTATTAACTGTTTAATTTAGGAAGCAAGAAATTATTGCTTTTTAGGCTAATTTAATTTTTCAATTTAATAAACCTTTTTTTTGGTTCCTTTATAAAAATCTTTTTTTTGGTTTTCTTGTAGGACGAGAAATGAATATAATTTTAACAACGAATTAGCATATATCTCTATCAATTGTACGAATCAATGCATTTATCACAATAAACTTTAATTTCACACTTTATCAACATGTTTTAAATGATTGATATGGTGAAATGAAATCAATTACTTGAATTGAATTACGTGAAATGTATTTGCAAGGAAAGATGTGAATGTGAATAAAAATGAATGGATGCATTCTAATTGTGATAATGCATCGAAAAAAACTTTTAAGTAATAATTTCAAGTAAAAGGCTAAAATATTGGATGAATAAATAAATATTCGAGCAAATGACAATAAATTATAAATTTGCATGTTTGAAATTTCCTTTTACTTTTCAAATGTATAAAACAGTCATAAAATAGCGAAAGAGTTGAGTGAATCTCAGTCGAGTCGACCGGTTATTTCTTCCTATTAGCTCATTTTTCTGAAGCTAAACTAGGATAAGCCGAATGGGTGATTCTACAGTAAGCCGTGGTGTGGGATATGTCCAACCGCCCGAAAGCGATCGTCGAATGTGCGCCCTCTGCAACACATCGTTAGGTGAGGAAGCGGTGATTGCAATGAATCGCCTCTGGCACCCCGATCACTTCCGCTGCCATGCTTGTAATGCACCAATCAAGCAAACCTACCAGGTAATCATCTCTGCTGAATTAATGTCATACCTAGGATGGCTTAATCTCACCTAGATTTCATGACTAGAAGGGTAGATTATCTAGAATGGTTAACCATTCCCGGTATCATAATTTCAATTTTCCTTGCATGGAGTAATTGAACTGTTAATCTTTCCCAATATTAGAATTCAAAAGCGTTCCCTTCGCTGAATATCAATAATTGAACTTTAAACTGGTAGTGTCAACTATTGATGCAAACACAACTTTTATTTCAGAGTAACTTCACGCTATTTCAGTAGGAAATAACAAACGTGTAAACTGACTTACAGTACAATAAGCTTAAACAAATTCATCCCAAATTTAATAATTCCAAGTTCGTTTATTTTCTTATAATTTAATTAATAGCATATAAAAATGATAGCATTTTAGATTGCAGATGAAATGCCATATTGTGTACAATGTTTTTCTAAGAAATATAATCCAAAATGTCACGGTTTGTAAATAAAATTTTCCTGTTTTTTCGCAGTACCATTTTCAGTTATTTGCTAACCAATAAATAAACAATGAAAAATAAAACAAAAAGAAAAGAAATTAACACTTAATGCTAACTGATGCAATTATTCTTAATTGTATGATTCGTCCTTTCATTTTTCTTTCTAATTTTCATTTTAATTTCGTAAAATCATTGTAAACTTTAGTTGCACAGCTTTTTTTTTTTCTTCCGTTTATTATAAATAATGAAATTAATCAAATGAAGCAATGTCAGATTTTTTTTCTTTGTTTTCAACTTTTTCTTTTTTCAATTTCTTGGAATTATTGTAAAATTAGCATCCGATTAGAGCTAAGTTAAATTCAATAAATGACTTTTCCCAAGTTAAATTCAATTTGGCAAATTTATGTTGCTGGGCTAAATTTAATAAACTGGTATTGCTAGGCTAATAAGAAATATTCAACAATTTAAGTGAAAAAAAATATGAAAAAATTTCAAATTTCCAAAAGAAAAAATAAAGCAAGGAAGAATTTAAATACATTCCTAATGCAGGTTGTGGTGAGATACTTATCGATTCATGCTTAATTGCACTTGATAAACACTGGCATCCACGTTGTTTCACGTGCGCTGCGTGTAAACAACCATTACCAAATGGTGAGCACTATATTATTGATGATTTGCCATATGATCGTGACTGTCACTGGGAGAAACGTCTCGAAAAGCGCATCCGTGTCATGCAAGGAGCACATACACGAATGAATCATTGAGAGTTGAATTTTTTCAATTTTTCGTCTATTTTTTTAAAATGAATGCTTAATGCTGACATGGATTTGTTCTTGTTTTTTTTTTCCAAAATTTTTTTCTTGGAAAGAAAAAAAAAAACATTTATAAGCAAAAGTAAGTCATACATTTGTTAGTTGCAAATTTTCATTTCATTTCCGAATTACCACTCAAATCTGTGACATTACAATCATTGCTTCGCATCTACTGTGAATGATATGAAACCCATCTGTTACAAAAGCAGTCTAAATAAAATCCCATTAAAGTAATTCTCATTCATACAATAGAGAAAGTAAGCAATATTTGGGAATAAACGAAACTGAAGAAAAGTTTATTTACAAGAGCTAAATCTGGAAATTCAATTAGAAATATCAATTTTATTATAATTAATGGATTGGATTTGAGAGAATTTTTTTAATAATTAATGGACTCAAAGTAATAAATGTTCATTTTATTTCCCCGAAAATTCATAAAATGTTTTGCAATCTTTTCGAATATCAAATAGAATCGCAGTAAAAAAGAACGAAAAAACGCTTCACTGTTTGTTTTGTTTGTATTACAAAACAAATGAGCGAGAAAGATTAGCAATAAACGATTTTAAAAACCGAAAAAAAAAAACAAAAACAAAAGCTTAAAGTAATACACATGTGTGTGTGTGTGTGTATATATATATATATATATGAATAGCAAAAATGTCGTACGAATCAAGCATATGCTTAAATTATAAAATACAGGTGAAAGAATGCAAAGACGATAAATGTGGGAAGGAAAAAGCATAGAATCATCATAAGGCAATAATTTAATGCTTGTAAATAAAGGGAATTTAAGTTTGAAATTGTTAATAAAATGAATTGGTTGAAAGATGATGTTTAAATTCCATATATTTTGACTAAAACGATAAAATTTCTAACTTTTTTATTCATTTTTCAGTGCTTTCATTTGTTTTCTCAGTTTTCATCCTCCTATTTTTCAAGTTTCATCTCCTGAGCAATTCAACCTCACTATTTCATTCCTAGCATCTATTTTGTTGCTGAAAAAAAAAAAGGAAAGATTGAATACGGACAAAAATATTGTGACTTTTTTCGGGAAAATTAGAATGTGAACAGATATTATGCTGTAGAAAGTTACAGAAATGCTGTACTAATATGCAAGCTTTAAAAAAATTAAAGCAGGTCAACTGAAAATTTTAAAGAAATCTGTGTGATTCACAAACAGAGTGAAAACAGAAATGAAATCTACAAAGTTTGATCGATCGAATAATATTAAAACCGCAACACATCAAAACTGACAATTTATAAGTTGTATTTGTAAATAACAAATTGTACCTAAGATTAGCTGCAATACACAAAACATATCCATTTAATTCTCTCATTTTCTCATTTTCTTTAGACAGCTTTACTCGATAAAATCAATTCGATTCGCAAGTTTATAGGATCAAAAACAATTAGGAAAAACCAAAACTTCAAGGAGGTGTAATTAAGATCATAATGTATTTCATAACTATCGACTAACGGTATGCATTATTGCATGATAAAGGATGCTACAACCTAAGCACCCGCATTAAATTTCAAAGAGCAGAATATTCAGCATACAGACTAATGAATAAACCGATCAGAAAAAAGCCACCTTAGTTTCATATATTTTAATTTACCTATTCTCCTATCTGCAGTTAATAATATCTAGCATCATTCAGCATCATCACTAGTTATTTAGGCAGCTATAAACAAAGCATCGGAAAGCATTAGATACAATAAATACTAGGAATAAGGAAGAGAAAATGCTCATAATAACGTTTTTCATCAGCTTGTCATAGTATGATTTGAACCACTTGATGAAGAAGTTTGAGAACTTTCCATTGTCGCTGTCCCCATTGTCGCTGAAGTTGACCTAACATTTTGCACTGGTGGTGAGTGAAGAGGATGTAAATTCTGCAAGTAATAATCAAGAATTAGTAATGCAAACAAATAGCATCAACAAGTTTCAACTTAATGATAAATAAAATATAGCTTCTTTGTACTTGCATATGTACTATAAAATAAAATATGTGCCACTTATATATTTCAATATACATTGCTACAAGTTGCAGTATAGCCAAATACAATGTTTCCCTTTTTGTTCCTACCCTTCTTGAATAATAAAAGATGAATAAATATGCTGTATGCGCGAATGAAAGTCAAGCAAGAAGGAAAATGTTTTCCTTTAAACTATTTGAAAAAAACTGGCCAACAAACCTGGCCAGTTAAACGATGTGCAAAATGTGTAGCACTAGTACCACAAAATATTGGATGCTGCACAATTGGCAAATTAAATGGCCCATTTCCAGTGCCAGATGCAGTAGTTGCTACACTCAGTTGCAAAGGTGCTGGCTAAAGAAAAAATTTCATAGACTGCTTTTGAAATCACTAAGATATTGAAAAAAAAAAAAACAGTATATTTTACGTTTCAGAAAAAGCTAAGCCAATTTATCACTTTGAATAGTGAAGCGTTTCAATATAATTTAACTGAAAGACATCTCAGTGATATCTTTAAATGATTATGACTAGTCCTATTATTATAATTAAAAGTATCTTAATTCCTTAAGTATATAATTTAGAAGATAAACTTATTGTAAGAAGAGTGTTTGCAACTTGAATTCAACTCCATTTAATCAACTACTACCTTATTTTCTCAGTTATAAAATGAATAAAAAACTCTTCACTCACTTGTGGAATAGGATCACTTGCAGCACTTGCCAAACTTGGATTGGACTTGCTTTTCACGATAGGACATGCGAAATCAACATGACGTGAACGTGCTTCTTCTTTTTCCCATGAACAATGAACAAATGGCCGTTGGACGTAATTATAAATAACTGAAAATAAACTTACAATAAATATTTTTTATTTCAATACTGATAATAATAAAAATCTGCCTTCCACATTTTATGCATTAAATTCGAGACACCATCATACAGGAAAATTTAACATACCTTCGGCTTTATTAAAACGTCTTTTTATCTTCTCTTTGTGGGTTGGGTATCCTTCCATACCAAGCCGAATCTTTTTAAGGCCACGTTCCTTTAGAACCTAAAAATATGCAAATTAATGCATAACCAACTGTGTTTCAATGACTT